TGTACAGTCTAGTCGTAAAATACCGGTATTTTACGACTTCCTGGTCTACTCTGTACAGCGAAGGGCCAGTGCCGAAGCGAATCTTGTTGTTTGATGTCGAGAAAGACACGCGGAGAAGACGTCCTTTCTCCAAGCAATCTTGGTCATTTTTCTCAATCCGCTGGTGGGTGTCGATCAAGATATGTCCGTGGGGTGCTGGTGAACTTGAGTCCTGGCATCTACAAGAATTTGCCGCGCCTAGCTAACCAATGTTGTCAGTAGAACTCAGCGTTTCCTGATCGCGACTCGGCACACTCTTTTCTGTTTGGCCTCGCAGCTTTCACGCTGCGAGTGGGGAGTTTCCTTGTCACAAATGAATCCCTTAGTCATGACCATGATGAGAGGTGACTAGTATGATCCCTGACTGGCATGAGTCCTTAGCTTGAGTCAACACGAAGGTAAACTCTTCACTTGGAACGCTTGCTGTCTCCTCCGCCCTTTCTTGTTGCACTTGCAGATATGCGCACGGCTGCCAGTTTTTGTTGGTGCGCGCGGCGACGCACGGCCGACCTTGATGTCTTCAAAAAAGTAAAACAGCGGTTCTCCTTGGCCGATTCTCATCATCGATAGCTCATTTTCAAGGTCTTGGAATTCTCTATCGGTTTACCGTCCCCGATTTCTAATTTTCTCTTCATTCACTTGTTTGCACGCCTTCGCGTTTGAGTGATTTCACCATCCGATCTCAGCCAAACGAAGGCCAAATCGAAAAATTCGAGACGGTAACCCCCCAAAGACACACCTTCTGAACACGAATCCACAATGGCCTAATGTCTAAAACCAACGAATACAGCCAAGCTCCACTCAGAAAACACCCCACAATTGCAAGAAACAGCCCGTTTTGCTGTGCGCTGATTGGTCAAATCCAAATGACCGTTATTGACGCTTTGTATGGTCGTGGTGAGCCCTGACATTGTACAGATGTACGAACTCCCGTAGGTGTGTACATGCCCGATTGGGTGTTCATTGTGTGCTATACATGGTCGTTTGACCAGTTTAGTAATAGCCTGCGCAAGCACATGGTTGGCCAAATCTTGCTAATCAAAATTGCTTGCACAGGATTAGTCGAATCTTGATCCCGTGCTTCAATGTGATTGGTCAAATATTTTAGCCGCTCAGGTCTCCTGATCCGACTAGCCGAGTCATTAGCTGCTACATGGTCTAGCTGATCTCCACAGCACATGGCTCATTTTCATCTTGCACTAGGACAGGACTGCACTGTGCTGTACTGTCGATCTCAAACTAGAATTTGCCGAAGATGCGTTTGACAATGAGGGCGGCGATCGTGGCAATATACGAAGGTGAATATCACCATATGTAGGTATACATGTAAGTCGAATATTACCTTCAGCCTCGTGAGTATGGTCTGATATTCACCACGTACAGTCAACTTCGCTAATAACGACTGCGGATATAACGACAATTCGCGAATAACGACAGAATTTCCTTGCCCAGAGCAAAGTCACATCCAACTGGAATACATATAATGGGACTTCGGGTATAACGACACTTCGCGCATAAGGACACTTTTCTGATGCTCCGCCGAGTGTCGTTGTACGCGAAGTTGACTGTATACGAACCTCGGGGGACCTCGGTTTGTAGTGAATATCAGCCCATACTCACTTTGGCTTCGGGTAATGTTATAATTATACATACAGATAACACATAACAGTCCTGTACATTCAACACCCAACCAGGTCTACGGGATTTCGTGCATGGCGTCACTGTGCATAAGGCTTATTTCCTGTTGTTTTCTTTGCCAAGAAACGTATCCCATTGTACCTTGTTTGCAGGAAAACATACGTTCATCGCTTTCTTGTTGAAGGCTCCGTAGAAGAGCATCTCTACCAGCTACTGGGCAACCAGAAAACAAGCTCTAGCTTGCTTGCCAGGTATGCACTTGCTGCAGCATTCTGATGTTGTCTGTCTGAAAGGGTCCTATCGCATGATGGTGCTGTGTTTGTAGTTGAGATTGTACTTGATTGCGCATTGAGTGTTGGTGACACAGTGCTGCTACTGCTGCTACTGCTGCTACTGCCACCATTCTGTGCTTGAAGTTCTATTACCGCTCTTGTTCAAACATTTCTCGGATGAGTCCTTTGCCAGAAGTATTTTTGTAGCTTTGCTTGGAGTGCACATTATAAGTTTATAACCTGTTGTGGTTGTGGTTGTTGTTGTTTCAAATCTTTATTCTCACGGTGTTGTTGTTGTTGTTGTTGTTGTTGTTGTTGTTGTCGTTGTTGTTGTCGTTGTTGTTGTTTCAAATCTTTTATTCTCACGATTGTTGTTGTTGTTGTCGTTGTCGTTGTTGTTGTTGTTGTTGTTGTTGTTGTTGTTGTTTCAAATCTTTATTCTCACGATGTTGTTGTTGTTGTTGTTGTTGTTGTTGTTGTTTGCTTGTTGTTTCTACCATGCCTCAGCCAAACAAAGAAGAGTAGTGGTGAGGACGAGTGTGCAGACATGACAGTTGATCAGCTACAACAGATCATGAATCCAGACCTGCCGCCGGCACTCAACACGGCGGCTACCACTGCTGCCGCTGCCCAGAATACTGCACCACCCGCTACAGATGCTGTTGGCGACGATGCGGAATGAAAGCTTTATATTGCCCGTGAGCGTTTGTAGCAGACTCGCTCAACAGACAGTGTGCTCGCTCAGTGTCCTAATCCATGTGTACTGTGTTAGGTTATGTCGCTGCCCCCCTTCTCCAGACCGAGGGGTTAGTTTTGGCGATTCGCCGCTGCCATTACTTTCGTGAGCTCACTGCCACGGCATGCATTGTCATCCATGGTGTGCTTTATGCTCATCACACATCAATATGGTGGACCTTCTCCTTGCCTTATCCGTGCCAGCTGTACCAGTGATTGGGAACTCCACTTTGATTGTGTGCGCAGAGTGCTGCCTTGTTGCTTCACCTATGACCGGCTCAACTATGCGCGGTACATGTCTTTTGCAAATTATTCATCTGCCACTTGCACAGCCAGAGGCTGATGTGTTTCTCCGACGTACGCGTACGGAGCATGCGTTAATTTAACATTCAATCATGTTGCCATGGCAATGGCTTGAAAACGTTTTTGAGACGTCACAATTTTCCAATCTGGCTGGCGGACTAAATGAATGCACAGTACAATCAGGGGCGTCGGAAGGTATTTTAGGGTGGTACGGTCAGTCATCTGAAGTACAGTTTACTCGTGGGGGGAGGATGGCGGAGCCGAAAATTTTGGAATTTTAGTCCAGATCAGTGTATTTTATTGATTCACGGGGTACCTGGGGCAAAAAGTGGTACGGTCAATACCGTAGTGACCGTACCGTGTCCGACGCCCCTGACAATAGAGAGGTTCCGGGGTACGATTTTCCGTGCCAAAATCCGTATGGGCGCTACGGATTTTTTCCAGGCATGCTCCATACGATTTTTCGGCACGGAGAATCCGTGTGGACTGGCTTTCACACGAACCATGTTTCGTATGGAGATTTTGCGTCATCAGGTGCAGAAAGATTTTTCGCGTACAAATTTGGTACGAGAAACATCGATTTTCCGCGGGAAGTTTTGATTTCGGTACAAATTTTCAAAATAAAAAGGCATAGCGCGGGAATGTGACGTGTTTGGGATCGTAACCTAGGCAAACACACAAGTTCCGTACTCCGGAACATTTCACTGCTCGAAAACGACGTATAAAAAATCCGTAGCGCCTCTACGGATTTTGGCACGAAAAGTCGTACTCCGGAACCTCCCTAATGCATGGCCCTACCTTCGTACATGCACAGACACACACACACACACACACACACACACACACACACACACACACACACACACACACACACATAAATATATGCATGCTCGCATGAGGAGTCGGCAGGCACAACACGAAATTATCTTTGGCCTTACAACTTCATTGTCAGGCGCATAGGCTTGACTCCGTGAACACTTCCTACATGTCACGAATAAACACTGAACTTTTTCACTAACTGTGTTCAAGAAACAGCAGCAGACAGGTGGCGCCATGGCCGTGGGAGGGTGGTAAACAACTAAACAAACATGGTAGAGAGGTTCTGCACAACGAAAATTCGAACGAAGTTTCGCGACAGGCCTTGCGAAAATGTGTACGAATTTTCGCACGAACTTTGTGTTCTGCACATTTTCGTAGTTTGCACGCGCCAAGTGCACGTACGACATGACCCAATCTCACGAAACTTCCTGCGAAAGTTCATTTCGCGTTCCCTGCAGGTTTCGCGTCCAAAGTTGCGAAAGTTCGTGCGAAGTTTCTCACTCCGTGACGTAGAGCGAAAGTTCGTACACATTTTCGTTTTGCAGAACCTCTAGATCTACAGTGTAAGGGCCTGGTCAGACTGCGGCAAAATCGAAATAATCCAAGGATTATAATCCGAATCTCCATAGTAACTTGCCGCCAGAGCGGCAAAAGCGAGAGTTGACGCTCCAAAAAAAAAGCAAGAACGGACCACGCTTTTCCGCTCCAAACAGGATTTGACGCTGATACGCCATTGACGCTGATAATCACTGATTTTTTCATCTCGATATCGAAGAGCTAATTGGCCACGGACAACAACAAAACTCATAAGGATGGTTGCAAGGATTGCACTGAAGGTGTTGGCGATCCCCAAGGTGAAGGAATTTGACGTCGTTCGTGGAGATTACCACTTGACGCTCGAAATGAAGTTTGAATTTTCACTCTCCCCACATTTGTAGTGTGATCGCGATTCAAATTCTGGACGCTGTTCTGTTTTCGTCAGGCAACCAAAATTTGCCGCAGTCTGACCAGGCCCTAAACAACAGAGAATAAAATTAATGCTGGAAGCTGGGAGTCGTATTTATACGACTCCCTGGCTGGAAGCAACAGCAAAACATGATTCTACATCGACCGCGTATTCTGGGATTTTCCCTTGTGATGCACGTGGGCCAAGAAAAATATTGAGGGATATTCAAAATGAAAATGTTTGTTCACATGCACAGTCTAGCAGTCTGGCTTTGCAATTTGGTGCCCTGTCGCGCGATGTCGGGCGATGTTGTGAATAGAGGGAGAGAAGGCTTGTCCAATGTTCTACGATCTTTCTTGACTGGTGACTACCTATGATCTCCTTTTGAGTTTCATTGGCAAAATAGACATGGCTAATGAGGGACGAGATACTATTCAGTCACCATTATTGGTAGACCACGAGCAAAAGAGGGGCACCACCGCAGCTTGGTTATCCAGTGAGAATAAGCCGTCCTATCTGGTAACGCTGCTCGTCAGTATTGGCTCGGTTTGTGTTGGGTATTCGCTGGGCTTTACCAGTCCTGCTAGCGAACAGCTTCTGGTGAAGAATGGCAGTGAAGCAATCACTCATGGTTATAAGATGTCCTTGGATCAGTCGCACATCAGCTGGTTTGGAGTACGTGATCCTTGGAACTAAGATTTTTTCGGGTGATTAATTGTGCCCACCGAAGGGTTCCACATACATGTGTAGTTCATGGGTTTGCACAACATCGAGAGTCTGTAACTGGCTGTGCATGTGGAGTCTGTAACTGGCTGTGCATGTGGAGGACTCTTGGTTGTTCAGAAGAGCTAGACACACTGATACTTACATCACACATGTACATTCCTGGCCAAAGAAATCCGACCCGCGTACCCGGCGGAAAGCAGCGCCTGTGCCTGTGGCTCTCGGATGTTTTTTTTGTGCCGTGCATGATGTAATTGAAATGGAAATGCAGCGTTACTTTTGACTCTTTTGCAGTTCAGACAGGGGATACCAGGGCGCAATCGGGCCGGGCTCTTTTCAGGTTTTCATTTGTTGCTTCGCTGTCACTGGAGGCTTCTTTCTTTATTATTATTTTTTTATCGATTTTCGGGTATTCTTATTGACGGTGGACGGTGGACAAGAGTCCCCCGGCCACACACACACACACATCTTTTAAATTTCGTACACATAGAGCGCAGTGAAGGTCAAACTTCACAATCAATGCCGCTTGCATTCTCTGCATAGCTGATCATGACATTGTGTGTGTGTGTGTGTGTGTGTGTGTGTGTGTGTGTGTGTGTGTGTGTGTGTGTGTGTGTGTGTGTGTGTGTGTGTGTGTGCGTGCGTGTGTGTACACATCTGTCAAACAGTCAGCAGTGTTTCTGGGAGCGTTCTCTGGTGGACTTATCGGTGGGCCTATGGCTGGCTACGCTGGTCGGAAACCATCACTAATGATTGGAAATTTACTCTTTATCATCGGTAGGTGACTTCTGAAGTGACATTACCCCCCCCCACACACACACACCACCACCACTTCCCACTGCATATTCAAGCAGTCTAGACAGCATGCATATTGGCTTACTCTGCAGGACTGTAGAATCATACCGTAGAATCCCGCGGATAAGCCCCACCGCGCATAAGCCCAGGATTAGTTCAAACATCACAAAGCTTCATCGTGCAAGCCCATGGGCCTACAGTGCATTTCAAAACTATAGACGCATAGGGTTTTTGAAATATTTCAAATTTGGCTGGAACTTTTTGAGAATAGTTTTCGAAATATTGCTCAGGATTGCTCCACAATTACTCTCATTATAGTTTCTAAAGGATTGGATAACAGACGCCCAATTTGGAAAAAATTATGCACAAAGTGATCACAGATTTTATGTGGTATAGATGCTGGCATAACGGTTTTTGCCTAGGTACGCGTCTATAGTTTTGAAATGGACTGTAGGTCATACCAAGAGTCCATAAATTATGGACTCTTGGTCATTCATGTACCATGTTTTTTTGTACATTTCAACACAATCATTTTTGTTTGAACAGCGGTTTTCAGCAATGTACTTCTCACTTCCTTGATACTTTTCAATTGCACAATTTTGGTGTCAGCGTATAAGCCCATGCCCGCGTATAAGCCCATGTTCTCGTATAAGCCCACTGAAATGTCCTTGTGAAACAGATATTGACTGAGATAAGCCCATGGGCTTATCCGCGGGATTCTACGGTAGTCTAACCCGTTGCCTAGGAGCTGACCAGTCAGTGACGGTCCTAGTGCCTTACCAAAGCTTAGAAGACCAGTTTGATTGTTATTTTCCATCAAATAATTTAAAAATTATCTGATGGCACATATCAACACATGCTGGTGTGTGTGTGTGTGTGTGTGTGTGTGTGTGTGTGTGTGTGTGTGTGTGTGTGTGTGTGTGTGTGTGTGTGTGCTTCTTGCCTTGCTGTTGCCTGACAGGATGGATCTTGATTGCTTGTGCACGCAGTCTGGCCTCCTTGATTGCAGGCCGTGTTGTGATTGGGCTGGCCGTGGGCATATCTGTACTGGTTAACCCGGTGAGTGGAGATGTTCCACCGCTATCACAACGCTATCACCTGCTCTGCATGTGTATGCGCAAGTAAATGGTAATGAATTGTTTTGAAGTTAGCACTCTACAAGTACAGTCAAATCTGTCGTAGGCGACCGCCCCTTGGTGCAAGAATAAGCGGTCTCTTACGGCAGATGTATGGTAAATCCGACAAAACGGGCATGCATAATAATTAGGGCTCAAACGATAAGTCCGATTAACCGGTTGCAGACCGGTTACGAAGAATTAATGGTTAACCGATAAAGATAACGGTTACGCAGTAACTTTTCAGTCAATTTTTCAAGTATCAGGTCGTTGCAAAGTGTGCACTTTCGTGGGCTGTCGCACGCGTACGCAATTTCTGGGCTGTCAACTCGGTCATATCTGGTCTCTTGGTGTGAGAGTATGTATGAATGAGCATGCAAGAGAATGTACAAGTGTGCGTTGTACTGAATAGGGTACATTTTTTGAATGAGTATAGTCAAATATACGGTTAAAAAAGAGTGCGCAGGATTGCCGTGGCTTATAGGTTATAACCGGTTAACCGACCGTTAGCTTAGCAGTTAACCGTCAGGGGTAAAACCGTGACCGTTTGAGCCCTAATAATAATATGCTTCCATGTACTCAAATCGACGAGAATAATGTGATTCGTAATATCATTTTATTGGATATTCAATAAAATATAGGGGTGCACAAACCCAAGAATAGTGCACATACCAGGGCTAATCTTGAGAGCTACAGCGCAGCCTCAGTACAGGCCAGGGCCAGTCGATCGCACTTGCAAGACAGCGCATTTTCACACCTTGCAGTTGACAGCGCACAGGCAAGTACAGTTTCGCACCTGACTGAACCTGGGTCGCGGTCGCTTGCAGCAGATTTGAATGCAGCCATCGTGCATGAAATCGCGGTCGCTGGTCGCGCACAGCAGATGGTCGCTCTGGACAGATCAGTTTGTATGTGAAACCGTCGGTGCACTAAAAATCGGTCGCTAACGGTAGATGGTCGCCTACAGCAGAGGTCGCTAAGGGCAGATTTGACTGTATTTTGTTTTCTGGGTATAACTCGACCTTTTATGACATATAACCGAATTCAAAAAAGGGTCGTGTTACAGTTGTGGATAGTTGCTTCATAACTCGTTTCCATGTGATTTCTTCTATTTTAATTCTATTTATTGGCCCAGTATCCGAGTTAAAAAATAAAAAAAGGTAGTCGACTTAAAGCCGGGGTTTAACCACTATTGATCATATTGATATTGAACCGGTAAATCGAGGCCCCAAGCATTGGGGGTCGATTTATAACCAGTAAAATACAGTACATGTACTCGTGTGTTGAAACTATAGCGTTCACTGGTCTGTAATTCTTTGGAATCCACCGCCATTTTGTGTGCATGTGTGTAATTGTGCATCTGTATGCATGGTCACCTACTCCCAACTGCACACTCTTTTCTGACAGATCTATCTTGCCGAGGTTGTTGTGCCACGTCTGCGCGGAGCACTGACAACCACACTGCAGCTTACCATGTCTATTGGGATAGTTGTGAGCTTTGCCATCGGCATTGACGTGTCCTATCGACACATGGCAGTTGTTGGTGCCTGTATCAGTGGGTTACTTGCCGCCCTGTTATTTTTCTTACCAGAAACACCACGGTGGTACATCAGGAATGGACAAAAGGAAAAGGTACGGTCAAAGAGTCACTTCTCTGTCTTTTGTTTGCCCGGGTGGATCACAATGTGCTTTGGAGAAATATGTTGATACATGCATATCTGCTGCTTCTGTGACAGTAGCTGGAAATGTGTTTTTGCCGCTGCCTGTTCAATGGTGTTTTGTCTTCTTTCTTGTTGCCACGGTCATCTGAGCATTGTTTTAAAGCTGTTGTACAGAACTGCAATCTGTCACGCCCGGTGTTGTGGTTGTCATCTGGTTGTGCCTACAAGTAGCTGGGAAGTGTGACAACTCGGTCTGGAGAGGTCTGTTTTAACAATCATGGCTGTGTTCCGTGCTGTCATCTTTCCTTCAGGGTGTCAAGGTATTGCAGTGGTTACGAGGAACTGCTCACTCACCAATTCACACTGAAATAAGTGAGATTGAATTAAAACTAGAGGAGGATGCTAAAGCGCCAACGTTCTCAGTGCTTGATTTCCGTCTGCGGCGTATTTTTCAGCCCCTGGCAATTTCCATTGCGCTAATGTTGTTTCAAGTGTGGTCGGGCTCCTTTGCTGTAACTGCTTACACTGCAATCATATTCAACAATGCTGGACTAAGCAACAAGGCTACAGTGGTCAGCATTGGCGTGGCTCTTGTTCAGGTGAGCTGTCATTGTGTGTGTGTGTGTGTGTGTGTGTGTGTGTGCGCGTGTGCGCGCGCGTGTGTGTGTATGTGTATGCGTGCATGCACGGGTGTGAATCCTGCTCTGCCAAGTCAGACTCTCAAAATTTAGTTTTGCAGTACAGTAGAGTCGCGCGCCCAAGAACGTCGTTTCCAAGGGGTTAGCCTGGGACGTCCTTATTTTTCAGCAATCTGGCTGCGTTCATAGCACGTTCTTAGAAACAATCTGTACTGGATCATATGTATCCCACAAGCTGCAAGAAAACCAACACCACCGTTCTTAACTTTAGGCTGTGGCGTTCTTAGAATTTCAGGCTGGACGTTTTTGGGCTCCACGTTCTTCAGCGCGCGACTCTACCGTAGTATGCAATAATTTGTCTGCGATTGTCACTCAAAACACACACACACACACACACACACACACACACACACACACACACACACACACACACACAAAAGATGTCGGCACCCTGCGCAATGCTACACAGTAACGGCACTTCGGGTAAAAATGGATCTGGCTACATGTACTTGACTCCCACTTTGGGAGATGGGTTATTGGGTACACTGGATTTTGAAGCTGTTCAATCCATACCGGTATTTGGATGTGATCAACCAAGCATGCTTTAGTAGCTAGTACTGACCCAACCTGCTTCTGGGTCCTAATCCATCGGAGTGATGACGTACTTATACAACCGTACAATGTCATGTACAATATATTTCATGTTCTGTGTTGCCTCTGCTGCAGTCTGTTGTGACGGCAATAAGCTTGTTCATCATTGACCGCAGTGGACGCCGTCCTTTGCTCATGGCAGCTGGTGCTGGAATGTCGCTGGCATGTGTAGTCATGAGCTTGTTCTTCTTCTTCAGTGACCGTATCCACGGTGATGCAGCCATTGCCATGCCGATTTTCTCAATATATTTCTACACAGCGGCATTCTCCCTGGGTCTTGGCATCATCCCCTGGTTGTTCATGGCTGAAGTGTTCCCCGCTCGAGCTAAGTCACTGTTGTCGTCCATTTCAGCGGGTACCAACTGGCTCAATGCCTTCCTCAACACTCGCTACTTTGCACAGCTGACGGAGTTGATGAGCAATGGCGGCATGTTTCTCTTTCTGGCTGCTGTTTGCCTAGCCCTGGTCGTCTTCACTTATTTTGCAGTGCCGGAGACGAAAGGCAAGACATTGGAGCAGATTGAGGACTTATTCAGTAGCCACTCCCAGCAGATACATGAGCATGTACTGAGCTCTGACAGTGGCTGCACTGGTGATCTTGATGAGGAAAGTTGAGAACAGGGAGTAGTACTACCTGAGAGACACTTTTGCTGATCATATACATTGCTTACAAACATAATAGGAACTGGAAATTACGCAACACTACACTTTAATATATTGTAGTATATTTTAGAAATGAATGTACATGCAGGCCATGTACAATGGAAAGGATAACAATTATTATGCACTTTTGATACCCTTCTGAAAAGCATTATCTTGAGACAGCGTGGCGTCAAATTCATGAAGATCTGCGGATTATTGTTGTATCTATTTTCTAAAACTGCTACAAGCAGGTTCAACACCAGATTACTGACCCTGTAAGCTTTTTCCTTTTCTTGTTTTCTAATGTAAAAGTCTAACTGACTGTACACACACACACACACACACACACACACACACACACACACACACACACACACACACACACACACACAAGCACGCAGGTGCACACAACCAACGCGTACACACGTGCACGTATGACACTGTTCGATCCAGGGAGTACTAAAATTCAGGTTTTTACAATTTGAGTACGCCCTGGATTGATCTACCCTCATGGTCATAACCACTGCCCAAGCATGTACATTGTAAGGGATATAGAATGTGGCAAAGAGTGACTTCATCTCTCATAAGCTTCATAGTGGCGTGTAGTATAGCACACTTGGATCAGTGTAGGATAATTATCATGAGTGGTATAAAATTATAGGGCACTCAGCCAGAGTAGAGCACAAGATACTTCATAGGATGATAGGTTAGTTTGTGCACACAAACAGCATCATAAACTTGATACACTTGAACAGAACACCAACAGCACTGAGGAAAGATGAAGGTAAGTCAAAGTAGCAATATTCATGGTGGATTTTATGGTGTGTATGCCAGTTGTTTCATTTCAACTCATGCTCTCATGCTCCTGCTTTATGCTGCACTGATGGCTAATGATATGAGTCAGCAGATACCCGGCAGCTCTTTGGCATTGCTATGCTCCTTGCTGAAAGCGAGCCCTGTCAAGCTATTCAGCAGCCCTTCGGCCACTACAGCCAAGATGTTTTGAGATGCCTAAAACAATGATGTGGGAGTAACGTGAACGAAAATGCCTGTCGCAGGCAGTAAAAGTAAGCAACTGTAAGCCACCACGAGAGTATCACACAGCCACTCTGGATGTAGTCAACGGTCCACAATGGACCCTTGGTGCAGTACACTGAATGTTCAGTCCGGCTGAAAGCAGTAGTGCACTACCAAGCAGAGTGGAGCAGGCTAGCACAGCTGGCATGTTAAAAAAAACCCGTTGAAAGTAAAATGCTCACCACATCAAATCACAGCTAAGGAAAGAAACAAGAAAAAAGTTCAAAAACCCCCGACAAATATCCACACCTGAAACTAGACTACTAGTATCCTAAAGAACGGAACAGCACACCAAACAGCACACCAAACAGCACACCAAACAGCACACCAAGCGGGAGCACACCAAGCGGGAGCACACCAAGCGGGAGCACACCAAGCGGGAAAGTAGCAGTGTAGTAGACATCTGGCGAATCAGCCGTGATAGCGAAGATAGCAAGGAGCACCAGTGGTTCGAACTAGAAACATACCATACAGCACACCATGGATGCCGTGCCCGTGAGCTCACGAAAGTAATGGCAGTGCAGAATGGCCAAAACTGATCCCTCGGTCTGGAGTAGGGGGGGGGGGGGGGGGGCAGCGACATGACCTGACACGGTACACACGGATTAGTACACTGAGCAAGCACACTGTCTGCTCAGAGAGTCTGCTACAAACGCTCACGAGCAATATGAAACTTTCATTGCGCATCGTCGCCAACAACAATTGTAGCGGGTGGTGCAGTATTCTGGGCAGCGGCAGCAGTGGTAGCCGCCGTGTTGAGTGCCGGCAGCAGGTCTGGATTCATGATCTGTTGTAGCTGATCAACTGTCATGTCAGCACACTCGTCCTCACCACTACTCTTCTTTGTTGGGCTGCAGTGTGGTAGAAACAACAACAACAGCAACAACAACAGCAGCAGCAGCAGCAGCAGCAGCAGCAGCAGCAGCAGCAGCAGCAGCAGCAGCAGCAGCAGCAGCAGCAACAACAACAACAACAACAACAACAACAACAACAACAACAACAACAACAACAACAACAACAACAACTTAAAAGTGCACTCCAAGCAAAGCTACAAAAATACTTCTGGCAAAGGACTCATCCGAGAAATGTTTGAAAAGGAGCGGTAATAGAACTTCAAGCACAGAATGGTGGTAGTAGCAGCAGTAGCAGTAGTAGCAGTAGTAGCAGCAGTAGTAGCAGTAGTAGCAGCAGTAGCAGCACTGTGTCGCCAACACTCAGCAGTATAAAACCCAATGAGCAATCAAGCACAATCTCAACTACAAACACAGCACCATCATGTGATAGGACCCTTTCAGACAGACAACATCAGAAAGCTGTGGCAAGTGCATACCTGGCAAGCAAGCTAGAGCTTGTTTTCTGGTTGCCCAGTAGTTGGTAGAGACGCTCTTCTACGGAGCCTTCAACAAGAAAGCGATGAACATATGTTTTCCTGCAAACAAAGTACAATGGGATACGTTTCTTGACAAAGAAAAAAAGAATTAAGCCGTTTGCACAGTGACGTCCTGTACGAAATCCCGTAGGATCCCGAAGAATCCCATGGAATCCCGTAGACCCGGCTGGGTGTGGAATGTACAGGACCCTGCAGTGTCATCTGTATTGTCTGCTACAAAACTTGCCCTGCAGGTATTGTGTGCAACAACCTTTTCGGACGAAGACCTAGCTAGTCATTAGCTCTATCCAAAGTGATGAAGCTGGAAAAGCGACTGTCTGCCATTGGGTATTGGGCTAAATTTGTTAAAACGCCCATGTATGGCACACAATGAACAACCAACTGGGCATGTACACGGCTAGGCATGTACACACCTACGGGAATTCGTACATCTGTACAATGTGCATAAGATGTATAGGATGTAACATGACATCTAGCTTTAGATGACCCGATCTCCCAAAAACGCAAGCTTTATGACGTTCGGGGTGATTTACACAAAGTACAGCTGTTGCACCATTTACCCCAAGCGGCATACACGTAACCTACTAGACTTGTGCCCTAGCATAGCCCATAACTAAGCAATACAACAATACCATAAAATACAAATTATACAATACACAACACAACACACACACACGCACGCACACACACACATACACACATACACACATACACACACACGCACACACGCACGCATGCACGCACGCACGCACACACTCACTTTGTCTGTCCAACTCTGTGCACACGGCCAATGGCTTGCATCTCCAAAGCAGGCTTGAGGGACGGCTCAACGAGCAGCACATGAGTGGCTTCAATCAAGTTCAATCCATTACCGGCAGTTCGCAAGTGAAGACAGAGTGCAGTTACACTGGGGTCCTGACGAAATGTCCGCAGAGTTGTCTGCAGCAAAACAGTAAGAAAGAAACAGAAGTTAAAACGAGCTACAAACTCCCTGTTCAGCATTCTATTTAATTCACTCAGGAGGTTTGTGAAATGAAGGAAACAAACCTGGTAAGTGCTCTCTGAGCACAAAGTCCATTAGGAGTCCCAGGGCCGGAGGCAGCTTCTGCGGAGCGGGGCGGCCGAAGGGCCATCTTTAAGGGGGGTCTGGGGGTCGTCCCCCAGAATATTTTTGGAATTTAGACGGCAAATCCTGCACTCTGGGCGACTCCCTGTACAAAATCATACATCGAAACTTTTTCTCCCCGGTTTTGGACGTTCCACGTGGACCGACTTTTTGGGAAGTTGGTACGGCCATGGCCGTACCGGCCGTACCAGTGGCGTCGGCCCTGATTAGGACACACAAGCTCAACCAATAAGGGGTGATTTAGATGTCTTCAATGGACAATATACTACAATAGAAACACGCATACCTGCAAGGCTGTACCAGCTTTGTCCATGAGGCTGGCGTGCTTGATGCCATTCAGTGCTAGGCCGTGAGATATCAGCGACAGTACTTCATTCCACTGGATATTTTCAACACAGTGAAACATAACCACCACAAGCAGCCGCAGCAGCAACAACAGCAGTGTTGTGTAAAGCTATACAGTAAAACTTGCCAAGGCGACCAACCACCTGTCCCAGACAGCAAATAACTACAACTACAGTGAACCTGTCCCAGAGGACCACTAGAACCAAGACCAGTGGATGCTATTCCCAGTGGATGCTATTCCCAGTGGATGCTATTCCCAGTGGATGCTATTCCCAGTGGATGCTATTCCCAGTGGATGCTATTCCCAGTGGATGCTATTCCCAGTGGATGCTATTCCCAGTGGATGCTATTCCCAGTGGATGCTATTCCCAGTGGATGCTATTCCCAGTGGATGCTATTCCCAGTGGATGCTATTCCCAGTGGATGCTATTCCCAGTGGATGCTATTCCCAGTGGATGCTATTCCTAGTGAAATGACCCTGGATAAGAAGACCACCGTACGGCGACCACATTTGTAAGGTCCCTTGAGCGGTCAGCTTAGACAGGTTTCACTGACTTAAATACAAACCGCTACTCAGGCACACATGCACACAGGAGCTGCATCTGCTCCTCCTGCATCCTCCGGAAAGTAGTCGACTACGATGCATGCAGCATTGGCCGGATCTTTTTGGCAAACAATTATACTGGCTATTCTGGATGCAAGCAATAGAAATAACCAATAACTGCGGTGACTCAGTTGTCTTACACGCAGTACAAACTTAATTGTAAATCTAACTTCATGGGCAAACACTGCGTGGGGAAAACACTAGACAAACACTCTCTTGAAGAGACAGTATTGTAAAGATCAAAGCACTCACGTTAGAGAAGATTAGACACTTGACAGCCTTGTCCTTTTTGTAAAGGTCCATCACTGTTCGTACAACTGCTGCCAACTTGCACGACAGTCCTCCCTGCACACAACCATGCAACAGCAAACAAACAAAAAAGTGAAGGCACAGCAGGGCACACCATGACTGTCACATATCCATGTATAACAGCTAGGTACGACATGTAATGCCATTGTGCCATGATCACCACTGCCTCAGGGGAGTAAGACATTTTCGAGGAAACAAGTTTCACACTTTAGAGGCTGAAGCAAGTTACCCAGGTACAGCGCTGGCACATTCTATCTACTTCACGTTCTCCTGGCCAGGCAAAACAGGCCAATGTGCTAACAGGTAGGAAAGGTGCTAGCCAGCAATGGCAGCAATTACACAACACAACGGATTTGTCGGGAATGGGAAGGACAAGTACAACTAATGTACAATGGTTCACAGTACCTTGATATTGCCGGTCTCCAGTGTTGTGTCCTTGCGTGGCACAGTGACACATTTGATCTCTGATGTTTGCGACACAAGGCGGCACATAGGGCATGCCACCTTGCCGTTAGTGCGGCTCTTCCCGATGAGCAACGAGTCGACACATTGCATGCAAAAGCAATGGCCACAGGCATAGATTTGCCACTGTCGCAAAACCACACACACACATGCACACACACATGGACGCACGCACAGAAGCAAGACATTAAAGAAGTCCAAAGTCAAAGCGAGCAAGCAGAGATATACAACATAACCCTGAGGAACACGCGCGTCGGAGTGTTCTCCAAGGTTGTCACCCCATTCATCAACAGTTCACTGCACCATCAGGGTTTTGACAATCTCACTCACAAGGTACACAGCTTGACGCATGGACTTGCACTAGTGCGGTACTGACTGTCCAACACTCACCGCATGTACAAGTGCAAGCAGTGTGTGCTGGGATTCAAGTCAACCTTGAAGGTTGTCCAGGACTGCCCAACCAGATGGGACTCATCGCTTCAAACGCTTGCCTGATTGGTTGAGCTGAAGGTTCCACTGCAGCCTGCCCTGGGCCAGATGCCAGCCAAGGATGATCTCCTCAGTGATAAACATGGGTTGGCAGCCAAACAGTTGGTCCGCCAGGGCCTGACCAAACGCACCAGTTCCACCGCTCCTGCAGTCAACAGTATGCAATGGAGTTGCTATTCTCTAGACAGACAGGGGATGTGTATGCCTACCTCCACGCCGAATACTTTGCAGCAGATGGGGCAGGTGTCCTGGTTCATACCGTTGTCCGCCTGCACAGTGGGCGCAAACATCAGCAACAACAGTTCAGGACGGATTAACAAACAAACAGACGATACGAAGTGCGCAAACAGGAGACACAAGTGAAAAATGATCCTGAAGGGTCATGAATACAAAGAGGAACAACATAGAGCAAAGATGAGTTGCATTCCAAAGCAGTAAAACAGCGCATCACGCAGCCGTGCCTCACCTTTGATAGGTTCTGGAGATAGAGTAGACGTCCGACAGCGCGCTTGTACTTGGTGTCCGCTGCAGCGCGCTCCGCACCCATCTGACCAATCTCTAACTTCACCTGTGTGAACATGGGTTGTCAAAGATGAACACACATATGTGCACGTGCACACGTACACACGCACAAACGTGTAAATAATTTCTTTTTTTCACATGGCCTGGCACGAGGAAAACATGGATGCAGTGAATGGGATTTTCGGTCTTTGACCACATGCTGGTGAGCTGATCTACTCACCTCCCACCGCTTTAGGAGCTGCATCTGCGCCTTGATCTTTGAAGGGTGGTGGCGTTCCTACGGATGCGGAAAACTCGGCCTCTAATTTTTTTCACGTATTTCGTAGCTAGTTTTACGTTCACTCTGTTTTGACACTGAGTGTTAGTGCCCACATTTCCAATTGTTGCTGTCTTCCGGTTTTTTCTTCCTTTTCATGGAACACGGGGTAACAGAGAAGGAGGTGCAGAAGTACAAACATAAAGAATATTTTGCAGATACATGTATAATTGTATATGTATAGATGGATCAATGCCTAAACCCTCATCTTCCTTGACTTACAGCCGGCCGATGTACTGCAAAGGGGTCCTTCTCAGCAACCTCAGCAGAGTCCACACCATAGATACGGGTGGTAGCCATTCGCAGCTCATCTTGAGCACCTACACGGTCCCTCATGGCCTTCCACATGTTGCGACAACACTGTACATTGTCGCACAACAGAGCAGCATACGTATGACCAAGTGTGAAGACATGAACCTCAATGGTAATCTTATCGCACAAGATACAACATGGCTACTGATAGCATACATACACATGCACACAGCCTGCGGAGTAGCAGGAACACACATAACATAAGTACACAAGCATGCAGTACCAGCTTTGGGATAGCAGTACATAGGAATACCAGTATATAGGAGATAACAGTTCCTAGGATAGCAGTATATGTACGCCCGTCGCAAGCAAAGTACTGACACAGACTGACACACTGACACCCTGACACATGCATCTTGACCTTTCGATACCCATTGCCGGAGGCGATGATAGCGATGCTACAGCAGAAGCCATACACACTTGTGCTGGGATTGCACCATTGAAAAGCTGGCAAGACTGAAGAATTGACAATCACTATTCAGCCTGGTCTACACCGCACAGCTATTTGAAGTGCACACACACACACACACACACACACACACACACACACACACACACACACACACACACACACACACACACACACACATCCGCGCGCACACACGCACACAACTAATTCAACATACTGCTAGCAAGAAAAATTACCATCCATATCAATACAAAGTTACAAACAAAAGATGTTCGGCTAACCTTGAACTCCTTCTTACGCTGTTCAAACAGCTGCACATGGCACTGGGCAGTTTCCAACAGTTCTGCGCAGAAGAAATCTTTCTCTGACAAGGAAAGAAAAGTAGAAAACAGAAAAAAACTAAACTAAAAATACGCTCGCAAAGAAAAGTTCGCACAGCCGTGTTACCACTCAGCTATACAACTGTGTTTAGAAAACAGCCAGTGAGTTCGTACTCAACAAAAAGCAACCAAGAGCTATCCAACAGCCGCACCTGCAGCATTCAAAACCATTACTGCATCGGGGGAAGGTTTGATAACAAAAACAAGACATGTTCAACAAATGAATGTGTGGCTAAGGACTGGGGCAGTGTATGAGGAGAGATATTGCATTCGTGTTTGTCAATTGCAATTCCACATGCACGTACCTGTTGCAGTAAGTTTAAACTGTTCGTGCTGTGCTTGCAGAAGAGCCTGTCCGGCAAAGTCGTCCTTGGCGAGCTCATCCAGTGAATGTTGGAAGTGTTTGTCAACAAGACCATCACGGACATGTTTGTCACGACACAGTCGGTGCAAACAGCGGATGATCAACTCAGTGGGACCGTCGGCCCAGGTCTGAACGGCATGATCGTCGCCCCTGTATGTGCACAACCACACACACACACACACACACACACACACACACACACACACACACACACACACACACACACACACACCACGCACACACACACACACACACACACACACACACACACACACACACACGCATACACACACACGCACGCACGCACGCACACACACACACACACACACATGCGGTGTACAACAGTTAACATAGCACAGGACAGTATCAATGGATTTTTAACCTTTTCACAACGCATCACATAGGTATATGTACACACATGATGATGGGTGTACATGCAACTGGCCCACGGATCACGTACATATACGTGATGCAGACAATGGACATGAACATGCTCACTGACACTTCCGTGGGCAACGGATCTTGTCCCTACGTGAACCAGTTACGTACTGGATGAACGAAGACTGTTTCCCGATAGTTCTCCACTGGACTATGTCAAGCTGTTCTTTACATGATCAGTTTTGGGACATGCTAGTGATGGAGACAAACCGGTTTGCAAGAGCATACATCGACGCTAATGCCGAAACCCTAGCCCGGCGCAGCCTCACCCGCTCGTGGACACCCGTTACCGTACCCGAGATGAAAAGTGTTCCTGAGTTTGTTCTTCAACATGGGCCTTGTTCCTAAGCCCGAGCTTGACCCCTATTGGAGCACAGATCCCATCATCGCCACACCGTTTTCACACGATGCCGCGTGAGCGCTTCACCTCTATCCTGATTTTCCTGCACTTCATGGACAACACTGAAGAAGATCCCAGCGATAAGCTCGCCAAGACACCTCTTTTTTCAGGAGCAATTCATGAAAGTTTACACTCCCAATGATTAAATTTCGATCGACGAGGAGCTAGTGGCGTTCAAGGGAAGAATATCATTCTGCCAATACATTCCGTCGAAGCAAGCTTGCTTCGGCATGAAAATCTTTGCCCTCTGCGAGGACAGTGGCTACCTGTTCAATTTGATCGTGTACGTTGGTAAGGACAAGGAAACCTTTTGCCCTGAAAATGTCCAGGAGCTTGGCGTGTTCGGTGCGGTGTGGTAGTGCAAAAGCTCATTGAGCCGTTTCTCGGGAAAGGGTATAAGCTGTACGTGGACAACTGGTACACAAGCCGATAGCCACCTACCGCAAGGGCAACACAACAGGTGTCTGCGGTACCATTCGCAAGAGCCGCATCGGACTACCGAAGCGTGTAGCAAATTTCAAGGGTCTGTAGAAAGTGTACGCTTCTCGTTGGCTGAGTATTTGAAAGAAACGAGAAGCAATGTTCTCTCGAACTTCGAATATGTGCGAAGCTTGTTTTATGCTTACCGGTATTATTTTTTGTTGTGGCACGCAGTGCAGGTTGACGTCACTGTAGCAGTGTTGCCACATCATTCTAGCCAAATATCAGTAGCATGAAAAAATAAAATGCATCATCCGGGGGCTGCGCCCCCGGACCCCCCCCCCCCCCCCTATATAGCGACCTCGATACACACACATGCGGTACTGATAAGAAAAAAAACATTTCACGGTTTTGCGTGACACTCGGGCTGAGTTTGCCGATTTTCCCCGAGACGGATGATGATTTCGCTTAGCGCCTCAGGAGAGAGCTATGGAAACACTCGTGCTGCGCAGTAAAAGTCAAAAATCTGGATCACAACTCCTAAACCGAACACTTTCATGGCTGTTGTCGGCAGGAGAAGGTCAATTGTCGGCAGGTCGTGACATGCCTCAAAAATCGGCAGGCTACTGACATGTCGGCAGGTGTGACAACACAGCTGTAGTGACATATTCATTGTTGAGCGAGCACTGTGAAACAGCGCTTGCGCAAAAAGATTGTCCTTCTTTTTGTCTTGCTTGTCAAGGGTGCAGTCTGTTTCGTTGCACAGGTGAAACGTTTTCTTTTTTGGCAACTTATATCTCCAATCATGCCGAGAGGTCGTCGTGCGGAAGCTGCCCGGGAGACAGCTGAAACCTCCTCGCAGGACGAGGTAGAGTTGAGGATGCGTCTCCTGGAACGCCAAGTTATTCGGCTGGAGGAGAGGAAGCGCCGCCGGTCACCTCTTCATTATCGTCGTCGTCGAGTTCGTCCAGCTCGTCCTCGGAGTTGTCTCCGGAGAGGAGATCCAAGAAGAAGAAGCGGAAAAGTAAGAAGAGGAGCAAGTCAATGCCTCATACAATGCCAGGTATGAAGCGACTGAGTTATCAGCACCAGTTCGAATGCCTGTCCCAAATATCTGGCCTCCTGGTAGCAGCCAAAAAACTCGTTAAAAAATCAAAAAAGACCAAGGCGCTGAAGGAGCTGAAGAGCGCGAGCAAAGTCCTGCAGAAGAGGTTGGACTGGCTGGCAGTGGCAGACCGCCATGGCCATGACACCGCCACAGCGTTTACAGAAGGGGACGGCATGGCGGGCCTCTTGGCCAGTGCAGACAAACGTAAACGTCTCCGCCTAGCCATCGAGGCCACGAAGCAGGGGAAAGATGGCTCGAAGCCAAAGAAGCCCCAGCAGCAGCCCTTTCGGGCCAGCACTCCCGCACCAGCCGGCAACTGGAGTGCCGCAACAGCCCGGCCTGCCCCAGCGCAACGATTGCCAGCTGATCCAGCCAGGCCCACAACCCGGCAGTCCACGGCTGTGTGCCACCATTGCGGAGAGACGGGCCACTACGTCCGGTATTGCCCGAAACTCAGAAAAAGCTAAGTTTGCTTGTGTTGATGTTGTTAGGGGTCGTCGCAAAAGTTTTTTGTCGTCCCTGAAACGAACATGATTCATTTGGGGGGGGGGGGGGGGGGGGGAGGGGGTGCGAGCCAAAATCGCAAGTTGACCGACACTGTACATATGACATGTACATGCATGCGATTTTCGTCGTCCAGCATAGCAAGCTGTGTTCGTTTGAGAGGGAGGGGAGGGGGTCCGAGTACGAAATGAACGATGTTCGTTTCAGGGACGACAGAAAACTTTTGCGACGACCCCTTAACCCTTTCCGGACTGATGCCGCACATGTGCGTCAAAACGTCATACCCTGATTTCCTGATGCCGCATATGTGTGTCAAGTAAAAGCGCATACTTGTACACTGCATATACATCACTGTTCAAATTGTCGTAACTCCATTGTCCTTTATCCGATTGTCGCGAATGTTGGCTCATTGGAAAGGTGAGAGAATAAGCTTTCCAGTGGTATGTCGTTTGATATAGCGCGGTGCGGAATCACTGAGTATCGAAGAACGAAACACGGATACGCTTGAAATTGTTTCGAAAATTTGTACGCAGAGTGCTTCAAAGTGCGTCGGCGTGCCTCAAACGGGGACTTTCCCAGTGACTCATCGCTGCACAGCGCATGCGAAGTAGAGATCAAATGAATCGCTTGAGCTTCATGAATCTGCAGGACTTTGAATCATCGTTCTACGTTGAGTAAAAATTGAGAAATGATAAAATTTGTGGAGGTGGGTACAGAATCTCGCTCAGGCGCAATAGGGCAGCTCTCAACAGGCTTGAAGGCGATTCTGTTGCTCCTGCCGGGTGTCTAGTGGCGATATTCAGAGAGAGAACATCTGTAGCTTTCCAATGCGACCAAAAAGAAATAATTACGAAACTGGTGAGTGAAATTAGATAATTTTCAAATGCATACTGGGACTATTGAGTATGGCAGGGCGGCTGGTGGCAGGAATCAGGGGATTTAGCACCAGGGCGCAGAAGGTTAATGGTGGTGACGATGATGACGATGATGTTGATGATGATGATGATCAGTGTTAGGAAGAAACGATGTGTTCAGAGTACATAGTTGCCCAGCTTGTGTGTGAGGAAGATATGAGAGCCAACACACCTGTCACCGGGTATGTCGCTGTTGGCTCAACAGTTACCAACCGTGTTAGAAGGCTCCAGGGCAAAGTCAACCATCAAGAAGTACAAGACAAGTTTCACGCAGTGGCAGAGGTGGGCCAAAGGTCAAGGTATTTCGGCTCTCCCGGGATCTGCTGCATGTAGCATTGCACCTAGTCAAGAAGATTGCCACTTCCAGTACACCAGCGCCGGTCTCTGCACAGTCCATGGAATCAGTTGGAAACATAACACCTATAGTCATCATGATCCATGCCGAGTACCCATGGTGCAAAGGGTACATCAAGCAGCAAAGAGATTTCTCGCCACGCAGCGCAGGAGGAAAGCCCCGCTGACACCGAAACTGCTCAAGAAGCTGAAAGTCTCACTGTCTACTGGAAAATTGCAGGATCTCCAAACCCTGACACTCGTTACATTAGGGTTTGCTGGATTCCTTCGCTGGGACGATCTCATGTCCGAGTAGATGCCCTGTCCATTTATCGAGACTATATGGCAGTTTTCCTGGAATGCAGAAGGAACGACCAGTTCCGGGAAGGTAGCTGGGTGTTCATCAGCCATTGGGAACAAGACCTCTGTCCAGTACAACTAGTTAAGCAGTTTCTCGCCAGCGGTGACCACTCGCCAAACTCAACATTGTTCGGCAGACTCCGAAACCACCATGGACGGCAGGTTATTCGGTCCCAAATGTCATACTCCAGAGCGAGGGAGTTAGTACGGGCGGCAATAGAGAGAATCCAGACAAGTATGGTGTACATAGCCTCCGTTCTGGGGGTGTCTTCGTGGCAGCTGCAGCAGGTATCCCAGACCGTCTAATTCAACGCCATGGAGGATGGAGGAGTGAGTCCGGTATGAAGTCATATTTCTCGGAGTCCCTGCCTAACCTCCTAAGAGTCTCTAGTGCTATTGGGCAGGTGGTCGCGTGAACAGCGGACATGTGGTCAAGAGAGATTGGCGCCGCCCAGTTCGAAAGATTCGTCTGGTACAGGATTATACATAGATGGGCGGCGGAGTGGACAAGGACGATGAGATGCTGTCGTTCTACACGCTGCACGCAAGTCAGGAAAATGGTATAAGAAGCTCGCCGTGCATCTGATTGAGCAAGCACTCTTGAATGCAGACCCCCTGCACAAGAAGCCGAACTGCACGGCACACTTCGACTTTGTCAAGCGCGCCCTGAACGCCCTCATCATCGAAGGCAAGGCGGATATGGCAGCTCGGGCAGAAGCGGCTGCTGCAGCAACTGGTACAGCCACAGGCGCGAATAGCGTGGACAGCCACTTCCTCCGCTACATCCCGTCAACGGCAATTAAGGCTACGCCGGAAAGATGTCCGAACCAAGTGCGCCGATTGCCTCAGGAATCTTGGCTACTGCATTCCGTGTTACCGAGGGAAATGAAGCTATACGCTCGTATCTGCGGTGTTCAGTTGTGGGCACAGCTGGGCACAGATCGTGGCAGGCTTTATGTATTATCATGTTAGCCACCTGCTCATGCACTGCAATGGTATTGCAGTGCCCAGCTATTTTGTGTGAACTGCAATTTGTGTGTGTGTGTGGGCACACTCGCATGCATGTGCAATTAATTGTTCAATGCATCGAGATGCATTTTCTGATACTTTCAGCTCGTGTTATGCGAAAATTTATCAAAAATACGTATCTACTGTACAAGTTGTACTGGTTACTATTGGCCAAATAAGAAATTTTTGTTGGAAGTTGTTTTCACTGTCAGGCTGATATCTCTGCATTCCACAAAATAATTGTGGGTAGATACAACAGTTCTACTTGGTTCCTTACCCAGCACCTGCATTCAGATTGATAGTGCTGACATAGAGCTCAGACTCGTAGACCGACATCAGATCATCCAGCTTGCAGAACCTACACCTTGGTCTAAAGAGTACACACAGCAGCAACAACAGATGGGGCAGCAACAACAGTGGCAACAGCAAGACTGACATTGATACATCTGCGTGCTAATGGTCAAGAAACGATGCAGACTCATCATCAAGACACACACTGCAAAGTATGAACAGACACGCATGTGTACACAAACAACATACGAACATACAAATCTCGTCGCATCCAATGAACATTGCAGAGATTTATTTTATTTTAAAAGACAGTGCACACGCAGCAGAGAAACAAGTCACCAACTGCACAAGTAAAACTCTTACGCTTGAACACCGGGTGTGCCATCTTTCCAAACAGCTGGTTGCAAATGGCAGTCTCTGGCCTCGGATACGGTATCCTCACTTGTGTCGGATCTCAGCATCTCACAAGCAGTATACACAGCCAGCCAGGCATTCTGTTGAAAAGAATCGATGTGACATGCCATGCGTGAGGTGTGTGTGTGTGTGTGTGTGTGTGTGTGTGTGTGTGTGTGTGTGTGTGTGTGTGTGTGTGTGTGTGTGTGTGTGTGTGTGTGTGTGTGTGTGACCATGTCAGCAGCAGCAACAAACAACAACACGGGTTACATAACTGCCAAAATACCTACTTAACCTAGTACACTAAATACCTACTTAATCTAGCACACTGCCACAACATCACATAAAATCTACAAAGCAATGAGCCACTAATAGCGAGGTCAGGCCAAAATCGAATTTTGGAAAACCTATTGAATGAGGTATCAACGGAAAGCTTAGGGTTTCAGGAGTTCGAATCTAAATTTGGGCTACGTTCGAGCAGGTAGAAGACAGTTACGACTGTTGTAAAGAGTACGATTAGGTGATATTCTGTCGAGCAGGCAGTAAGATGCCTGACACCGCTGTCGATGAAACACCACCACACCGACATTACCGCTCGCAGCAGCAGGAGCCAGCGCACCAACCAGCTGCCGTCATGCACATTGTAAAGTTCGACCCAGCCAGGAAGAACTGTCTGTGCTACGAGCTGGACAAGGCAGAGCGGAAGTGTTTACATACTGCAAGGTGTGCAAGGTGTTTTTGCATGTCGCGCGGGTGAACGACACAGCTTTGATCAGTACCACACAGTGAAGTTTGCGTAGTATCTCTTCCCGTCAGTGACCTGATACATCGACGAGTATTCTATGGTTGCTGTAGTCGTTACAAGAATCCTGCTATGATATGCTGTAGTTTTTTTAATACATCATCCACATAGAACATATGTGATGAATGTAATGCTCCGCATTTTGCCTGTTTTACAGACAAATGATATTTGTGCATCCTTTGTTGCTGAGAGTGTGCTCGACGAATTATCTCTTTGTTGCTGAGAGTGTGCTCGACGAATTATCTCTTTGTTGCTGAGAGTGTGCTCGACGAATTATCTCTTTGTTGCTGAGAGTGTGCTCGACGAATTATCTGACATCAAAGCTTTCAGAAAACATAATACCGGTATGTTTCTTATCACAATTTGAATAATCGGCAAGCAGACAATCACAATAATCACAATTCTGTATAGTTGCAGAGTTATGATGAGCTAAACACAAGAAGCCGGAATAGACAAAAATAGCAACTGTCATTGGTCCTCCAAAGGGTTTTTAAAATGAGTTGAGTAAAAGTCCTGAACCAAAGGAAATCGTGGCTGTGGGTGGTGAATCTCGTTCAGGTGCAATAGAGCTGCACTCAAGGCACTTGGAGGCGCTTCTGATGCTTCTGTTTAGTATTTTGTCTTGACCTTTGGATGGAGGAGATCACAAGCTTTTCAGGGAGCCCCAGATCATGAAATGCCATTGCTCGGGAGTGAATTCTTAAATTTTCAAATTGCCTATCCGTGGTTACGTGCAGCGCTATGCGAACGCCTGGAAAATTAGAAACACCAGCTGGGCTTCAAAGGGAGAAAAAAATGTTCAATGGGCCAAGCGCGATACGCGAAGACCTTGAACTGGTCACGTGTCTGACCTCGCTACCACAAAGAGAAAATGTCCAGCAAGCATTCCCGGGCATAGGCAAGCTATCAACCATGTGGTCAATCATGAGAGGAAAGTCAGACAGAACAGGGTCGATAAGAAGTTTTATGAACACATAGAAAACAGCAAGGGTAGAGAGTCTAGAGATTGGTGACGCCATGTACTTACCTCAAGCCTTTTCAGGTTGTCAGCTAGATATGCTTTCAATGTACCGATGTCGTCGAAGCTACAGCACAACAATCACGAAACCAAACCAGAAAATAAAGTCCTTGTTCCCTTTCAAGACACGACGAAGAAATTGACTAGCTTTGGGAATGTAAACGAAGATACTTCAAAGCTGTTGTCACCCCTTACATGCATACCGCATCTTCGTCTTAACAAGGTACCAAGAGTCCTTGAAAACAAGAGTATGCAACTGTGGTTACAGGTCCATGCGAGGCGTGCTGCCTTCATCACGTAACTTGATTCCATTACGCTCAAACCCACAATCTCGTACCAGCACATCCGTTTTTGCTCGATTCGTTTGAGAACCCACACAATTTCCAAACGTTGGGCGCGTAAACTTCAGTTCTGTACGAAAGTTCATTTCCAACCAGGGGGAAAGTGTGGTGTTTGGTGATTTCCGCAGTGCGCAGGTTGCAGTGAAGGCAGCGTGCCGTGCATCTGGCCCATAAGAAAAGAGATCACAGTTGCATACTCTTGTTTGCCAGTATGCACTCTTGAAGGAGTGCACTAAGCCTCTAAGGCTGTGCCCCCCTGTGCCCCTCTTGTCACAGAAGATTGTCCATACTAGTATGCAAAGGGTCTAGGACAAATTCAACTTGGGATAGCAAAAGAATCAGTGATGCAGTGCTAATTGGCACTAACCCAATCGGATGTGCTGCCAAATGGTCTTGAGAAACAGCCTGCAAACACTTGTTTACAACATAGTATCCAACATCAGCAGAGACCAGTTCATCGATAAGAATACGGTGCCAGGTAGGGAACTTGTGCACTTTCTTGTACGGATCCCAGTTGACTTCGCTAACTCGCGATTGGTCCGTAGCACTAACGGCTTCTTCACAGCGCATCATGTAGTGGCTGCGAAGTGCCTTCTCCTAATCCAGGTGATAGCGTGCAGTTCACACACAAACACCACACACACACACACACACACACACACACACACACACACACACACACACACACACACACACACACACACACACACACACACACACACACACACACACACACGTGCACACATACATGCACGCACACACACACACACACACACACACACACGTGCACACACACACACACGTGCACACACATGCACGCACACACAGAGTTTGGACAATCATACCTCATCAGGACTGTTGTAGACCTAGCAAAACAGCAGCTGTTTAATATTGCAGTACATGTACTTGCAAACATGCAAGCGAGACGGTTGACAACAGTGCTGCCAACTGAGCGTATTCGTCCGTATTCTCACAAAAAATAATCACTGTCCGCAGCATGAATTTGACATGAGATTTCCCGCAGAATGGAACCATAATTATTATGCTGTAGCGTGGAGTTTGGAAAATAGGGGTTGAACCATGCCCAATACTGGCAGTACTACAAAAAGCACAAAGCCTATCAATGTTTGTCAGCTATAGAGATGCATAACATATGTTCCAGAGTATGACAAACTATAGTTCAGCTGACTTGGAAATACATTTCAGTTCAAGCTGTGTGCCTGGATATTTAGACCTCCACATCAAAGCTAGCATCGTGCTCTTGGCTTTCTTTCTATTTTCTCAATTTTCCGTGGTAACTATTCTCTTTGGACAAATCATGGTAGCCCGTAAGATGTGAGTCATGAGTGATCAGTGAGCTTTGAGTGTGAGTGAGTGAGTGTGTGTGTGTGTGTGTGCGCGCGTGTGCGTGTTGTCCAAACAAGATAGACGAGATCCAGCAAAGCGTCCCGGGAATCATGGCCACCTGCTTTCACAAGCTCAGGGACAATACGCGAGGAACCTCCAGCTTCGCCATTTGCAAGGTATCTGATGGCGACGACAAGGTCTTGTTTGGACAATGGCCACTGTTCCGCAGGAATGGTGCGATGCCGAGTTGGTTCCTGTTCCCAAGAAGGGTGACCTGTCCAACTGTGATAATTGGCGGGGTATTGCCCTTCTTGATGTTGTTGGCAAGGTGTGTGGCCGCTTGATTCAAAATCGCCTGCAGTTGTTGGCTGAGTCGGAACTCCCAGAGTCCCAGTGCGGCTTTCAGCCGGCAGGGGCTGTGTTGATGCCATCTTCTCACTTCGCCAGCTAATCGAGAAAGCCCACGAACACCGCCAGCAGCTCTTCTGTGTGTTTGTGGACTTGAAAAAGGCTTACAATTCTGTACCACGCGCTGCTCTCTGGGTGGCCTTAGGCCGACTTGGGATTCCGCAACAGCTAGTCGCCCTGATTAAGGCTTTCCACACCTCTACCTCTGCATCGGTGCGGGTTGGCAACTCCATCTCTGATGAGCTCCCTGTCGTTAATGGTTTCCGGCAAGGATGTGTCATGGCACCAGTTCTCTTTAATCTGTACTTCGGGGTGGTTGTTGAGACATGGTGTGCCCGGCTAAAGGATGCAGGTCATAGTCACTCTGTCAGCATTCAGTTCACCATTGATGGCCAACTCTACCCACGCTCATCATCGTGCAGGGCTGGCGAGTCATTGTCCGTTAGTGACCTGGAGTATGCTGATGATGCCGTTCTCGCGTCTGAATGCCGTAGTGATGCTGAGTTTGGTGTGGAGCTCTTCTGTAGTGTTGCCCAAGAATTTGGGCTAACTGTGAGCATCGCCAAGACTAAGATCATGACGGCGGGCATGAGGTCTCCGCTGAAGACTCGGCTGACATCGTCCTCCCCCTTGCACTATCGAAGCCGTACCAAAGTTCACTTACCTAGGATCCGTAGTGACTCGTGACGGCCATTCTTCGACCGACATCAAGCGCCGTATTGCCGAAGCCTCAAAGGCCCTCGGAGCCCTCCAGAAGGTATTCACTGACAGGTCTCTGTCCCTCTCCAGTAAACGGCACCTGTACATGGCCTGTGTTTCATCAATATTACTGTATGGCGGAGAGTGTTGGACCCACTCCAACGGGATATCAGAAGTCTGGATAAATTCCACCACCAATGCATCCGGACTGTCCTCAGCATCTCCAAGCCTCGTCAGTGGTCCGAGCGGCTGTCATCCACAGATCTGCGGAACCGTTGGGGAGACCCAGTATTGATGTCTACACGCCTCCGCAATTGGCATTTGGAATGGACTGGGCACGGTGCGTGTACGAATGAGGATCACACCCCCCCCCCCCCCCCTCCAATAGATGATATGCCAAATAACGTGCAACTAGGCTTGAGAGGGCATTGCACACAAGTTGCATACAAATTATACTACAATGTGTACACGGTAGGCCCAGAACTCTGCAGGAGCACAAGTCACAGGTAACCGTACAACTTTGAACTTTGTATGCAACTACTCTGCAATGCCCTCTCAAGTCTAGTTGCACGTTATTTGGCATATCATCTATTCCTCTTTGGGTGGCTACCTGTGCCTCGGCCTTTTCGCAGTCCCCGTCGACGGTGGAAGTACACGGTGATGAGCGACCTCAAGTTTGCACTGCAGCAGCCATCTCAGTGGTTCAACCTTGCTCAGAACCGCCAACAGCGGAGGGAAGTGCAGGTTGCCCCTCAGTCGAGCTCCACCATGCCCAAGCCTGTGACCGCAACTTCTCACGGGTCTCCTATAGGACGCCGCCACGCGGCACAAGTGCAAAATACAAGTACTCCGTGAAAGGTGACTGTGCAAAATACATAAATTAATTATGCATGCATTGCACCTACCATCGTCACAAGACTTTCATCACTTGGAACATCAGATGGTCGCTTGTCGCAGTGACGAATAACATCCTGCAGGTTGTACGTGGCATGCAGTCTCTGAGTAGAGAAAAAAAACCCACATATGAAACAGTTACACATATACACATATATCATGTACATGACTTTGATGCTTAGAATTTCCAGTACAAATCAACTTAACCAGGTCATAACTTTGGGTCTCCTCTTGGTTTTCACAATCTAGGGCTCGTTGGAAAGCTCTTGCGAGAGCAATGCCAGGATACCAGGCTCCATCAATCAGCCGCCACAAATCAGGAGCGGGAACTGTGGTAGTCCCACTGAACAGTGTCTGATATGTGCATGATTCATGGTGTAATGTACGTTTGGTCTCAGTCATTGATAAGCTTTCAGTAAACTTTATTAATGCGATTAATAGTATAAGTGAAGCGGACATTACAAAATGATGAATGAGAATACATGTATCTAAGATGGTTGTTCCTAATCGATTTTCTTGAGACTATCATCAGGGAAAAATCGTCTCACAATAGAGGCTGTACGGAAAAACAAACTACTTATAGGTTATAGGATAGTGGGGAGTATACAAGGTGAGGTGTGAAGAAAAAAAAACTAAAGTGGGAGAGAAGACGAAAGAAATTAGAAGAAAAGATGTGAGAGTGTTCAGACGGTGTGAGCTACTACAAAAGGTGAGTGAAATGAAGGCGTGGAAGCAGGTGAATGTGATAGAGTGAGGAAGTGTGAGGTGTAGGTGTATGCGAATGAATATGTGTGTGAATGCTAGGTGAAGAGTCTCAATTTTGTGACATTTTCTTTCTGAATGCATAGATTAGGATTGTGTTTACGGATGAAAACAGCTTCTAATACCTTAAGTTCACGAAACCTACGAGCACGGCACAAAACAGTGAAGCATGAATCGTCATACACTGAGCGGCATTGGCTACTAGACAAGAGGTGTTTTTTAATTGCTGACCCTTTCGTTGTGCTCTCACCTTCAGTCCGGTCATCTTGATCTTGGTTGTCCAACTCACTCTCTTCATCACTGCTCACACCTTCTTCATCCTCTTCCTCGCAGCACAACGAAAGGGTCAGCAATTAAAAAACACCTCTTGTCTAGTAGCCAATGCCGCTCAGTGTATGACGATTCATGCTTCACTGTTTTGTGCCGTGCTCGTAGGTTTCGTGAACTTAAGGTATTAGAAGCTGTTTTCATCCGTAAACACAATCCTAATCTATGCATTCAGAAAGAAAATGTCACAAAATTGAGACTCTTCACCTAGCATTCACACACATATTCATTCGCATACACCTACACCTCACACTTCCTCACTCTATCACATTCACCTGCTTCCACGCCTTCATTTCACTCACCTTTTGTAGTAGCTCACACCGTCTGAACACTCTCACATCTTTTCTTCTAATTTCTTTCGTCTTCTCTCCCACTTTAGTTTTTTTTTCTTCACACCTCACCTTGTATACTCCCCACTATCCTATAACCTATAAGTAGTTTGTTTTTCCGTACAGCCTCTATTGTGAGACGATTTTTCCCTGATGATAGTCTCAAGAAAATCGATTAGGAACAACCATCTTAGATACATGTATTCTCATTCATCATTTTGTAATGTCCGCTTCACTTATACTATTAATCGCATTAATAAAGTTATTGTCTCCTCGTCGCCTTTTCAGTAAACTGCTAATATGCTAGAAGCATAGTACATGTACTTTGTTCTTTCTATACGCACTCTCCCCATACTCGGCATGGCCGGAGTATTCTATACGCACTCTCCCCATACTCGGCATGGCCGCAGTAGTGCCATGCACTCTCCCCATACTCGGCATGCCCGGAGTAGTGCCATGCACTCTCCCCATACTCGCCATGCCCGCGGTAGTGCCATGCATTGAACCAGTGACGTACGTCTTGTGTTCTACTTGTTTTATCTACATTGTACATATTTGCGCATGCTTGCGCAAGGTCGAGGAGATTGAGAGAGAGAGAGAGAGAGAGAGAGAGAGAGAGAGAGCCCAAGAATGGCAGCCAGATCCATACCGTAAAAGTCCGTAAATAAGTACGTATTTACTTTCGAATTTAATGACCACACCCGCACTAACTTTCGGGCGGGTACTGACTTTCGGGCACGAACTAACTTTCGGACCTGACTTGTGTGTAGTGGAGAAGTCATTTTCATGTCGATGTACATGCTACGTGCTGCATGTGCGCACCGTACCGGTACTTATTTCGGGCAGTATGTTTATCGGGCTTGACTTGACTTCAACAGACAGAGCCAAAAGAATGAAGGTGGTATTTCTTTCGGGCAGGTACTTATTTACGGACTTTTACGGTACTGTCCCGATTATTATTATTATTATCCAGAACCCTTTCCTTGTATTTACTCTAATTGCATGTAATGACTGTCCCATTGCTTGGTTGAACTATGTTGGCTGGTGTGATTGGCGAGTTGACTAAAACATTGGCGCAGTGAACAGGATTCTTTTCAGAAATAAGTCACTCGTTGTTTGTAGTTTTCACCACGCACGAGGGAAGTGGCAGCAAAGAAAAAAGTCGGTGTCTGCCTTGACCTGGACCATGAGCTTAGAAACGATCATTTCCTGACATGGAGAAGTCAGATGGAAATTGGATTGGCGCTCCACATCGTGACGGAGCAGTTGCAGCAGTATTCGGCAGCAGCTGCCAAATTAGGCGAGTTGGAGAGCCACTATTCATGGCAGAGTTACCCGACGGTGCTGACTTCAACCAATCCCTACGACGACCTAATCAAATCATTCGAGGAGTATTTCGGCTCAAAACAGAGTGCGGCATCCCGTTTGGTGGAATTGTTTTCAACCGAACAACATCCTGAGGAATCAGTACAGGCCTTTTGACTGCGTGTGCAAAGGATATGAGGGTTTGTAACCTGACCAGCACTCACAGCCTAGATGAACTACTGGGAGTGGCGGGAGTCCTCCTGTTTGCACGGGGACCCAGCTCCGCCAATGCCAGAACGCGTGTCCTGGAGCACGAACAGTTCGCCTACCATAGGGGCCACTCATGTGAAGACTTACTTCCGTGCGTCATTAATAACTGCATGCTCTCCTTGGACAAGGGACAGTATGTAGTAGCCGCCTTCCTTGACATGTCACAGGCCTTTGACACCGTTGATCACGGAATTCTACTCCAGGAGCTACTAGAGATCGGTGTCGGCGGTACAGCACTGCAGTGGTTCCACAGCTACCTCACTAACAGAAGCCAACGTGTTGTAACCAAGGAACAGCAAGGTGAAACGTACAGCAGCAACAGAGGTGTTCCACAGGGGTTCTGTCCTTGGTCCATCCCTGTTCACCCTCTCAGTGAGGACACTCCCTCCTGTGCTCGAACACCGTAAGGCTCGGCAGTACTCTGATGATGTGTCCTTGTACAGAGCTGGAAAGGACGCCTGCAAGTTATGCAAGGAGCTAGAGGAAGACATTGGAAAAGTGCAGCAATTCTTGGCTGCAAGAGGTCTTGTACTGAACCCCTCCAAAACCCAGTTCGTGGTGTTTAGGTCAAAGTCCAAGCCTCTTGATCCCAGTGTCCACCTCCAGCTCGGTGCCGTCCACATCAGCTCCCAGCGCACACGATCGCTACCTGGGTGTGGTGATTGACCAGCACCTTTCCTTTAGAGAGAACGTTGTTGAACTGGAAAGGAAAGTGGGATGCAAGCTTGGAATGTACCGAAAGGTACGGGACAACTTGACAATCGGTGCTAGAAGAGTGTTTTGCATTTGTTCTATTCAGACGGTATTGGAGTATGGATCCACTCATTTGCCCATTGCCTTTCAGTCACTCTTCTAGATCGTCTTGTCCGTTTAAGCAACAGAGCGTTGCGCATAGTGTTTGGAATGCCACGGTTTTCAGATGTCTCACTCATTACTGCTCGTCAGCATATTTTCCCTCTGTCTGAACGGTATCAGTTTAACCTCTACATCTTACTGTATCGTGAACTGCATCAATTAGCTCCTGTTTTTCTTGCTGAATGCTTTTGCACCCGCTCTGCCTCAACCCACACTAATTCTTCCACTCGTTCTCAGACTACCTTATCTCTTGCTCTACCCAAAGTCAAAATTCGTTATGGTTTATTTTCAGTTGGTTTCCTCGGCCCTGACCGCTGGAACGCGCTCCCTGCTGAGGCCCGCTTATGTTCTTCATTGCACTTATTCCGCAAATCAGTACTTGTTTCCTAGGGTACCCTGTAAAAAGGCCTTAGGCCGGTGGGGATTGCCCTATTAAAAATTTGATAAGGCCAAGTAAAAAAATTGATTGTTTATCGCCCGGGCCCGCCCCGAATTTGGACCCTCCCGGCCAAATTATTTTATTTTTTAGTTCTGGTAAATGCACTGTATGTCCTGCCAGACTACGGCCTCTAATCAGCATGGCCTAGATTTTCGAAGGTCAAGTCCACAGACTGAACCATAACTTAGTCGCTATGGCCCCGGCTAGTATGGGCTCGAAAAGTGAAACTGATTATCAGCTGCCTGATTTCTTCATTTTCTACATTGGTTGTTGCACCTTTCCTTATTAGAATCCTCAAAATTGTCTCGCAAGATGTCATTCATGGCTGACGATTCATCTGCATCCCATGGATTTATCTCACTCTGCGCCAAAATGGCTTCAAAAAATACATCAACAAAAAAACGAAGAAAAAGTCATGTGTGGGGTTGCGAACACCTACCCGGTACCCTACAGCCATACATGTACCGGGTACACGCATAATAAAAAATAAAATAAAAACCCTCCCGTCCGCCGCGATTTCTCGGGAAAAGCTGACGATAAACAATCAATATATTTTACATGGCCTAATAATAATTTTTAAAAGAGGTCGGAGGCGGATAATACTTTAAAACGAAGGTAAGTATTAGGTCGGAAGTATCCACGCAAACACACACATCCAGTCAAATAAGGCACTTGTCATAAAGTACCCGAACGTTTTCGCTCCCTTCTCATCAAGGATTGTACAGGGAATGGCTCAAGTTGGAAAGACTAAAACTTATAGCGTAAAGATAATGAGATAACAACACTCGTGACAAGGTGGAAAATTATCAAGTTCAGAACGACACAAATCGAAGTAATAGTTTGTGTCGTTCTGAACTTGATAATTTTCCACCTTGTCACGAGTGTTATCTCATTATCTGTACGCTATATAAGTTTTAGTCTTTCCAACTTGAGCCATTCCCTGTACAATCCTTGATGAGAAGGGAGCGAAAACATTCAGATACTTTATGACAAGTGCCTTATTTGACTGGATGTGTGTATTTGCGTGTATACTTGCGACCTAATACTTACTTTCGTTTTAAAATAATAATAACAAGACTTAGTTTTTTTTTTCTTTTTTTTTCTACAAAATCCACATATCTCCAGACACTGGGGTGAATGATGGAGTGTGGTGGTGGGGCCCATTAAGCTCCGCCGACCAGAGGTCTCGGCTTCATAGCTCCATGGACGCACCAAAGTAATAAGTGAATAAAGGAGAAATAATAATGAAGTTGGTTGTTCCAACGAGGAACACACGCTTCTTGCCGACACTTGACTGACTCGCGACTGACTCGCGACTGCCATCCGGAGCACACGAGGAGCACGTCGCACCCTCCATTCAGCAAACCTGCGAGAAAGCACCACTCCCTGCTCAATACACAGTGTGTCCGACTCACGCTGCTACCTGGGGCTTCACGAGGTGTTTGTGGCGCTGGAAACAAAGCGTCTCTGTAAGTTTGCATCCCTGGTGATGGTTTGGCCTGGAGAGCAGTATATAAGTGGCACTTCCCAGGCACAGTCTTCCTCAGCCTACTCAAGCTCAACTGATGAGGGGTGAATTCCCCGAAACACTGTGTATTGAGCAGGGAGTGGTGCTTTCTTGCAGGTTTGCCCAGTGGAAGGTGCGATGTGCTCCTCGTGTGCTCCGGATGGCAGTCCTGAGTCAGTCAAGTGTCGGCAAGAAGCGTATGTTCCTCGTTGGAACAACCAACTTCATGACTAATGCCGCCGAAGTCGCAGCTTCTAAGTTAAAAATAATAATATGCAAGCAAATTCGCCCCATCAACGCCATTCCACTCTCCTTCATCGCAGAATAATCAATTTTTATAGGCGATTCAAACTTTAGCCGACTATGTCAATATCAGGTGCTCAGTCGCTGAAAGAACACGAGAAAAGGGACCCCCCCCCCCCCAAAAATGGCGAAAAGATCAATCAAAATTTTGAATTTGCCGAGATAAGAACAAGGCACACGATATATCTGGAGTCCGACATGGTAACTCTTCGACGATTGTTGCATTGGAGAGCTTGGAGTGTCCGCTACCACGTAGACCCTTAGATTGTTGAATTTGCACAAGAAATTACAGAGCTACGATGGTGTTAATAATCGATCATGTCTGACCGAAAGTCCGCATGCCGGTACTAAAGGGTTAATAACGCTTTGTTGTTGTTCAAACTTATCGCGGCTTCTAATTTGCTACCGTATACCCAGGACTTTGCAGCATATGTCAAGATTCTGGCCACATTTGTAACACAGAAAAGTTAACAAGCACACATCCATATACACATGTGTAGTGCACTCAAACGTCTCTTATCCGGACGCCTCAGATACGGGCACGTCTCTCTACCGGGCACCTCCACGTTGAGTTCCTATGGCAAAATGCTTCGAATTTGGGGATTTTTGAACCTTTTTTCGTACGCACAATTGCTTATTTTGTCACTGCCAACTTGTGTAGTCCACACATTTTCATCAATGGATTCTTTTTTATCCTGAGAATGTGCAATACGTGCCAAATAAACTTCATCAAAACTGATATGATACATGGTAGATGAGTTATCCTGAGATACGGGCAAATCTGAGATACGGGCAGTGTCCGGTCCCAAGGTGCCCGGATAAGAGACGTCCGAGTGTATATCGTGTGAGAGACAACCATACCAGGACAGTGTCAGTGGCCACTAGTGACGCTCGCTCCTCAACCAGCTGCAATGAAGCGACATAGGACTTGGCACTATTCTCCCACTGACAACGAGCAATGACACGCACACACGCGCACGCACACACACACATGCACACCCACACAATTTACGCATACAACAAAAGAGAAGAACAGAGAGACATACATGTCCATATACCACCAAATTGTAGTAAAGAATAGCCTGGCTGGATAGTAAAGAATAGCCTGGCTGGATTACCTACATCATGTTAAAGACCTGTACAGTCGCCAGCCAGTCGCGATGTGTTTTGATTGCATAAGACAAACAGTGGAACGTTGATGGACGTGCTTGTGAAAGAATGTTGTACTGTTCGGCAATGCATAGACCGTTGCGAGAGATGCGAATAGTGAGCCGCTCCTTATTCAAGGGCCACCACCTGCCTCTATTGCACCGTGTCAACAGGCAGCAAAAGTGGAACACAGGCTGAACAGCACAAAGAGTATTTAGTGCACAGCGTTCATTGTCTTACAAACCTCAACAGCCAATGCAGCCGCAGCACTACCACCACCAGAACCCTACCTCTTCCTGGACAGCATAGAGAGCAGCTACACCTGGAGGAACACAGCACAGGGCAGGTATCCACCATGCACACACATACAAAAGGAATTTTGGAAGGATGACTCAATTGGCTATTGAGCCGCCCAACGGCCGACACCCCCTGAAATCCCCAAAACAAAGGGTGGACTTGGAAATGATCCCACGTATGGGCTCACCACGCCTCAGTAAGTGAGTGAGGACAAGGTGCAAAAAAAGGATTAACGGCACGAGGGACACACAAACACACACACACACACACAAACACACACAAACACACACACACACTTGTTGCTCACTGCCAAAACTGGTCACGCGGGTCTCCCCAGGAGAGGGGAGAGAGACTCAAAAGGAATCTTGGAAAGATGACTCAACTGGCTATTGAACCGCCCAACGGCCGACACCCCCTGAAATCCCCAAAACTCTGGGTGGACTTGAAAATGATCCCACTTATGGGCTCACCACACCTCAGTAAGTGGTATCCGTCCAGGGATCCAACTGCAGTTACCCCTGCCCCCAGTGAAGGTAATACTTACTACAGGTGGAATCCTGATAATTCGAACCTCCAAATGCCAGGAAAAAACTTCTAATTATCCGGACATTCTAATTATCCAAACATGAACCCAAAACACAATATGTATGTCAAAATGAATGCTTCCATGTTCACGCAGAGTTGCGCTATGGACCTTAGATACAGATTTCATGGATACTGAACTGACCAGCACAGCCAGCTCATGCAAACTGAACTGACCAGTACAGTGTACAGTGAACTTCGAATTACACTTTGCTTACTTCGAATTATCAGCACAAATCCCACACATTTTCTATGTGAGTGGAATCCGTGGAACTTCGAATTAACCGGACATGTCCGGTTCCGGTTCGAGGTTCGAATTATCAGAAAAATTTATGTGGGAATCGTATTGACAGAAATCGGTCCTGGAAAAACTTCTAATTAAGCGGTATGTTCGAATTAAGCCATATTCGAATTATCAGGATTCCACATGTACTAGTGTGGGTGGCTGAATCAGAGTGGATTTGATATAAGCTTCACTAGCACCATTGATTACACAAGAGTTAATCTACACACACACGCACGCACACACACACACACACACACACACACGCACGCACACGCACGCACACACACACACACACAACTGAGCACACACAAGCACATACACACAGTACAGTCAAACATCTTCGGGATGAACGCCAAGGGACCGATGGTATTTGTTCTGAACAAGACCACTGCGCTTGCCAAAAGTGGAGTGCATGAGTAATGGCGGTGAGTACCCTGGGATCAGCAATGCACTGTCCAACACCCCACACAACCATACCCAGGAAGCTGTGTGGGTTGGTGGTACAAATTACGCCATTGCGCAACAGGCGTATAACGTTAACAAGGTTTCACTGTACTTGCATATGCCTAGAAACTAGTCACAAGGTCCCCCAGTGAGAGGAGGAGAGGAAGCTGGGATCTTGGAAAGACAACTCAACTGAAGATTTACAGGTAGTTGTATCAGTGCACGTGTGGTCAGAACAGGCATTGGAAGGTGCCGAAGGCTTCTACTTCAGTAGATAATCTACATACAGCTGCTCATCCCACGCCTGTACTTTCACTTGATTGAGCTCCCAATAAATTCATCATCAGGGTACGATCACCATAAAGCAAAGCAAGAAAAACAATGAGCTCCGTTCTCTTCCTTCTTTCAGGCACAGACAGAAAAGTGTCATATGAAAGTGCTCCTTTCCGGACACGGTATACACTTCTCGGGCATATAAAGCACAAAACATGAGCGACATATAATCCACAGCAGCTGCGTTGCATCGGACAACCAACATACCATTCACAGCAATGATTTGAGCCTGGTTGGCATCAATACACTCTTTCAAAGCTTTGGCAATCAGCTGGTCCAGCACTTCACTCATGGAAAGAACTCTGCCAAACATGAAACACACACGTGCACATGCGCACACACATGCACACACACAGGGAGAGAGAAAGAGAGAGAAAGAGAAAGAGAGAAAGAGAGAGAGAGTGAGAGAGAGAGAACATCTATGTCTGACTGCTTCATCCATGTGTGCTGAAGCCAAACGCATCGGTGTCCGGTAACTTTCGTCACACAGAAGGTAAGCAACTTCCGAAATTTCGTTTCTTCCGGTCACTACACCAAACAATCTCATCTTGATTTTGACTGAATCTGACTAGGTAACCCTGAATATTTAGGTCCCTGGTTCGAGTCCTGGTGGTGACAGTCAATTTTTTGAAAGTAAACATTTTCTTCAGACTTTTCCCTTTTCAACTCCCTCAACTAATGAATATTAACTATTTAGTGACAGTTTTCTTGCTTGCTCGAGTCCGAAGCTGCTTTCATATGGACACTGGGCTGTGAGACCGGCGCTGCCATATTCAGGAGGTCAAATTTCTCTTGCCCTGTTCCTGCAAAAGTTAACTATGATACATACCGTACTTCCCCGAATAAAAGTCGCACCTTTTTACACTAAAATCCAAGGGTAAAAATGGAGGTGTGACTTACAATCGAGTGTGACTTACTGCTGAATTCAATATAATTATCAAGTCAATATTGCTCAAACCTGAAAATGGGGGAGCGAATTATAATCGAGTGCGACTTACAGGGCATAGCTTAAGGATTTCATTTAGCTCGGACAAATGTCCTTCCGTTTTGAAATCTGTCCGGACATGCCCGGACAATTCCACAACACATGTTCAGGGTGTTTCTTCTTCTTTTTGTTTAGTAGTACTGAAGTATATTCACAATGACTCATTATGTGGACGTATCTCTGCACTAGGATTAAGCAGTCCAACCCATCGATTCAAGTGCGAAGTCGACACCAACGGTCGAAAGTGGGAATTGACTGTAGCAACAACGTGTTGCTACAGGCGGATCAAGTAAATACTTATAGTGAAGTCTATGCCTGAGACTACGGTGTACCTGTTAGTTGTATGATATGCAAGTCGCATTTGGCACTCTGCATAAAAAGGTCGAAAGGTCGCTGCTCTTTTTTTACTTTTTTTATCGGACACTATGTCCGGTGAAATTGAAAACGTCCAGTCAGTGGCCGAAAATGGCCGGAAAATGTCCGATGTCCGGCCGATAATCTATGCCCTGACTTATAATCGGGGAAATACGGTTGGCCAATGGCCTGGTGTGGCTCGACCGCTCACGGTCGATGACGTTTACACTCACAGCACTGCACGAAGCTGGGATTTTCCCTACGCATACCCGAGGTGCCTGAGCTGAGCATAGTGACGCGTTTTCCATGTGGTGCAATACAAAAAGTTGCCAAAATTTTGTTTTCGAAAATTTCAAATACAGTAAAACCTGGTGTAAGCGACCTCTGGTTTTAGCGACCAACTGCCTTTGACGATCGTTTTTCCATGCACGGACAGTTCTACACAGAAACTGCACCGGATACAACGACCACCTGCCTTGCGAGACCAGCGGCCGTCTTTTACTGTACCAAGTGCCATACTAGACCTGCACATAGCGACCAAAACTACAGTGTAGCCAAAAGTGCCATCTTGGCTGGCAGGGCTGACTGCAACAGGGTTGAAGTGCGCTCTGAACGACTGCAGCAAGTGCATGCAGTCAACAGAAGTGACAAGTGACAGTGCAGGATGCGCTGCATGCACTTGAGTGAGATGTACTTTGCTTGCATGAAAATATTCTATGCTCCACGCCTGTCGATATGAGTACATGTACATGGAAGTACAATTATGCACATCTACGTACAAGATACAATACGCCACGAATGTATGGGACCTGGTTCTAAAGACCACCTGGCGTTAACGACCGCTTTTGTCTGCACCGTGGGGTGGTCGCTTAAACCAGGTTTTACTGTATGCACTTCAGGAGGTCGCGTCCACATCGACTTTTGCAATTATGCACTAGTGTTTCGACTTTCGCTTGAGCATACCTCGCGACTGTCTGCTCTCTTGTGCACACCATGGACGCAGAACAAGCTCTGGCGCTGTTGGAGACTCTTGCTGAATACCCCGTTATCGCCCCTTCCAGTGAAGATGATGACGACTCCGTTGACGACGGCGACGACAGTTGTGATGAGAGCGAGGGTGAAAGCAGTGGCGAGGACAGTGACATGGAGGTGGACGATGACAGCGATGAGGAAACAAGTACCCATGGGCGTGACAAAGGACGCGGCAGAGGACGCGGTCATGGTCGCGGCCGTGGCCGTGGCAAAGGTAATACTCGTCGACGTGGTCGTGGCAGAGGGAGAGGACGTGGTCGTGGCAGAGGGAGAGGACGTGGTACCGGTGCACACGTGGAGACAGCAGTTGAAGAGAAGTGCAACACGTGGGAGAACGCTGATGGGGTGAGTGGCGACAAACTTGCTTTTCATCCACAACATCCAGCAGGAATCCACCTACCTGAGGGAGCAAACCCGGTGCAAGATTACGACCTTTCCGGTTGTATTTTTCCGACGAAGTACTCGAACGTCTTGCGGCATCGACCAATGGGTATGCGTGGCTGTGCATTCTGGACATGCCTAGCTATGCAGATGAATACGGTGCATGGACTGAGACCGATGCAGCCGAAATTCGCAGATTGATTGCGTTGCTCACGTTCATGAGCCTCGTCAAAATGCCATGCATCACTGACTAGTGGCGGAGAAGGACACTTTTCAACGGCTGCTGGGCTCGTTTCAAGGCCCTTCTTGCATTCTTTCACGTCAGCTCCCCTGCTGGGGAGGACGACTCTGACCAACTGAAGGAGAAGATCAGATGGTTGAATGACCACATGAAACCCAGAAACTTTCCGGAGGTGAAAGCCAACTTTCTGGACAGGATCGTAAGCGATGTAAAAACCCATGATATTCCTGCCCAGTTGATTGTGAACCTGGATGAGACTGGAGTTCGCATCGTCCTTGTGTCTAACTGGACACTAGCGGAGAAAGGGAGCCAGAGTGTCTCAGTGGTTGGTCTGGACGGCAAGCGTGAGCTGACAGTACTGCTGGCTTGCATGCCATTTGGCAAGCTTCTTCCATCGCAAGTATTGTATCAGGGAACAACTGAGCGCCGCCATGCAAGGAACTTTACCGGCCCCAGCAGTGTGTAAGTACCGACGAACGCATGATACGTATGAAGGGGCGTAGCTATCTCCGCCGGTACATACCGAAGAAGCCCATCAAGTGGGGCATCAAGATATTTGCTGCTGCTGTCTGCGCTGCCTACCTGTTTGACTTCAATGTCTACACAGGATCTGTAGCCAGACAGACCGAGACGCGGCTAACGCATGCAGTGGTTACTCAGCTAATGCAGAGCTACTACAATGCAGGGCACATCGTTTTCACAGACAATTATTAAGCTAGCCCCCAGCTTGCCACAGCACTGCTCCAGAATGACACTCACCTTGTTGGTACGTTGCGGATCAACCGTACCAGCATCCCTTCACCAAGCAGTTTGACAAAAGTGCCAGGGGGGCAGCATGCGCTACATACGCGACAACAGCACCGTCTTCATTCAGTGGAAAAACAAGCGGGTTGTCAATATGCTGTCTACCTTCCACAACGCCACAGCCAGCTCGGAGGTGCAGCGGCGAGCGAAAAATGCGCAGGGTGAGTGGCAATTGGTGCAGGTGAAAACCCCGCAGGTTGTGCGCGACTACAACTACGGTATAGGTGGTGTCGACTCCTTCGACCAGCAGTGTACACCTCACCGAGTATGCTGCAAAAGCCGGAAATAGTGGAAAGCAATATTCAACGATTTTGTTGAAATTGCTGCTGTGAACAGCTTGGATTTTGTTCAACTCGTTCAGGAAAATGCACCCTGAAATCGAGCGGCCAGCATCCAATGACCACCAGGAGGTTTGGGTGCGCCTCATTCGTCAGCTTGGTGGCATTGCTGAAGACGCACCGGTCCCAACCTACAGGAATCCGGGCAAGGTAGCTGCAACACCTGTTGGCCCCCACCTGCCTATCTTCACTCCAGGTACAAGAAGGAACTGCTTCCTCTGTTACCAGAGAGAGAAGAAGGAAAGGAAGTGTCAGGTGTCAGGTTAAGTGTGTCACTTGTGCCCACTATTTTCACATCGAAGGCCGCGACTGCTTCCATGACTTCCACGCTGTTTGAAGTGTAGGACAGTTTGCAGTGGACCTGCAGAGTCTCCTCTATCATTTCATATCATATTTGTATCATTTCATATCATATTTGTATCATTTCATATCATATTTGTATCATATTTGTATCAATGTATTCAAATTGCCTATGGCCGGTCACAGCTAACTCTCAAACGCCGGAATTTTATATGTACCATATTTCACACAACCAAAATTACAATTTTTGTTCATTTTCTGAACTTATAAACTGTTTCATAATGTGGCCCGGCTCATTTCCTTTCAGAAACACCCCAGGTTGTACAGTACCTAGAAAAAGTGAACAGTAAAAAAGCTATAGCTTTTATACCGCGAGCCAATTTTTTTTATATACACTGACCTTAAACGGTAATGGGTTAATACTGTATCTACTGTAATTTCACAAATTTTCGGTGTACTTTTATTTTATACCTAAAATGTCAATACACCGAACAAACACTAGAACACATAATCCAATAGGGAACTGCTTCTCTGGACTGAAAATTTCTGTTCACCTAACCTGGCCCGTTGCCCTCATACCGAAAATTTCGAAAATTAGATTACTTAGGCGAGACCAAAAAAAATTAGCGATTCCCGGGCCCTCCCGCACCAAAATGGAGCCAAGGCCAATTTTTTTTTTTGAACAGTTCATAATACATGTACAGTACTTACTAATCGTGTGAGTAGATCTGTGACGAGGTGTCACACAAACCCGAGCTTGTACGACTCCCTGATGTACAGATCAGGACCATCATTGGCCGAAATACAGAAAAATTGAACGGGTAAACCGCGTGCCTGTTTTTTGTGAAATTTGAATATAAAAAAAATTACTGGAAAATACTGTAAAAAAAAAGCTCGGCATGGCATGCGCATATGCGCATATGCGCATACACACAGCCATAGGAAAAAAATAAAAATTCGCCCGCCCGCACTAATTTCACATGGGTCCTGCCCGGGAATCTCGATTTTATTTTGGTCTCGCCTTAGAAAGGAAGACAAGTCATTTAGGGGAGAGGGGATTGAGCGCCTGTTCGTTTCTCAAGAAATATCGATGTACAGTTTGTATGTGTGAGCGCGACTAGAAAGAAGGAAAAATAGCAATACTATGTGCCATTTGTAGGGGTGAAAGTTGGCATTGAGATCCCGAGTTCGAGTACTCTGATTTTCTCCGATCGAATATTCGAGTATTCGAGTATTCGTCATCTCCTATAAATTGCACACCGAGGGCCTTAAAATCACATGATACAACCCTGCTTGAACCGAGTGGCTGCCATTTTTCTCTGGTATGTTGGTTGCTGGGTCATTTGGGCTCTCTCTGCTCACCACATAGTCTGCACATCAATATCTGCCGACTGCTGCTCTGAAACTGCAGATTTCTGTGGTAAATGCATGTACCACGTATGAACGAGTACTCTGATTTATTCCGAGTACGATTATTTCTGAAAAAACCGAGCGAGTACTAGAGTATTGGGTATAATTGTTTCACCCCTGGCCATTTGTAAGTGTTCGTTTCTCAAGGGGGGGGGGGGTTGAAGAGACATGACTAGTTTTCGTTTCTAAATAAATATCGGCATTTTCGGATGGCCCCTTTACAGCAGTACTGATGATGAGGAAATTGACTTACTCGCGGTGTTGCTGTCTTCTTACAAGTGCCCAGTTGCCAGTTCGAACAGCCTGGGGATGATCGCAAGACTGGCGCAAGGCAAGCAACGGGTGCATCAACTATACAGCAGAGCCAAGGCAAAACCCAAACAAAAAAAAAAAAAAACAGACACAGCTGAAACCACAAACATCCATACAGGAAGAGTGAGGGACTCCAACACAAAGCACCAACACATCTCTTTTGACACTGTGAAACATGACCCCCCCCCCCCCCATACCAATACACACGCACAATACATTCACTCATGCACACACATAAACATACGCACCCACACACATAAACTCTCCCCGAGCTCTACCCTCAAACTGAAAGAGGGTATTAAATCATAAATATTAAATAAGGAGGTTTCGCTCTATGGAATTACGTATGAAAAAACGTAGGAACTGCACAGAATTTTCATACGTAAAAATCAGAGCTGTTGGGTTTCGCTCTACGTGATTTCTCCACGACTGCTAAACATGCGTTGTTGCTTTGGAGACGCGTTGACTGCATGCGCCTACTGCATGCACCATGAACCGAAACCGCATTTTCCATTAATTATTTATTTTGCACGTGGTGTACGGTGCGTGTACCTTGTGTTTCGCGCGGCTTGAACGTTGCCATGGACAAACACGGAAAATGCGAAAAATATTTCGAAAAGTCCTACGGAAGACCCAACGTAGGAAAGAGCTTTCCTACGGAAATCCGTAGAGAGATTTACGTATGAAATTTGCCCTCGCTCCCCAGCGCGTACGACATACGGATTTTCATACGTAATTACGTAGAGCGAAACCTCCCTAATGATAGTGCCAGTCACTCTACATACATATGCATGCACATGTCAAGAAAATACACATACACATGCATGCACCTACATTTATTGGTGGTTTAGCGTGTGCGCTAAGCCCTGTTAACGAACGTGGAACATCTACCACTCATACTTAGTCTGATGATCATGCATCTGATTATGATGTCATTGCTATACATGCGCATGCGCAGCGCGCGCCACTCTCCCACGCATGCATTCCAAATCTTGCTTTAGAGAGGGAGAAGGAGAAAAGAGAGACTCCTTTGTCACTTTTGCTTTCTGACGACTTGACTGTTCACTGGTTTGTCCGTCAGTGTCAATTTCCTACATTTTTCAACGGTCATGCCAAGAACACGGAGCACCTCACGGGGTGCAAGCGCTGCTGGCACTGACGCTGACGGTCCCCCAGCTCTATACCCGTATCCGCAGCGGGCTGTGAATTCTGCGAATTCTCAAGACCATCGGAGAGCAAGGTCCCGTGTGATCCATGCTCATGGGCACATTTCAGCCAATGCGGACCAGGTGACTTCTCCTGCGCCGTCACAACCAGCTCCTCTCACCCTGAGCGACCTGACTGGTGTTATCCAGCCCCTCCTGGAGCGCGTGGAGCGCTTGGAATCCAACGTCGTCGCCCCTACCACCTCGCCCATTGCCGCACCAGCACCCGCACCAGCACCAGCATCAGCTCCTCTCCCGCTGGGGCAGCCTTCCCCGATGCACTTTGCTTGCGCAGCCGGCTCTCCAGGACTCCCCGTCATCCCTCCACGGCTACGGGAACGTATCACACGAGGTGAGTTTGTCGAATTTGGGGACTTGTTGCCTGAAGCCATGTCCGGCAGTAGTGATGTCCTGCAGTTATCGTTGGTGAACGGCAGGTCCGTTGAGCTGGTGCAGAGCTCGTCCACTCCCCAGCCCTCCAAGCGCCGAATCCATGACTTGGCGACGTGGTTAGAGGCCTTCACCTTGTTCACCAGAGTCCTGGTCGATGCGTCGCCGGACCAAGCTCCAGATTTGCTGGCGTACCAAGCCAACATCATCGAGGCCAACAACAATTACAACAATTATCTGACCGACGCGTGGCTGACCTATGACCGTCGTTTCCGTGCTGGTCTTGCTGCCATGCCGCACCTGTATTCCTGGCGGCAACTGGACCCTAACCTCTGGCAGTCCTGCTTCACGAGCCGCGGGCGCCCTATCTGCTCGCGTTGTTCTCTCGTGCACCCATCTCCAGCCCCGCATTGCCCCTTTCGTGGAGGGCTCCCTCTTGCGCAGCACGCAGGCGGGAGCCAGTCAGCCACCAGCCCAGCTCCTCGTCACGATGGCCGCCAGATCTGCCGGAATTACAACAATGGCGCCTGCACATACCCGTCCTGCATACGGGCCCATGTCTGTCTGTCATGCCGCGGCAAACACCCAAAGAAGACTTGCACCCGAGCGGCCTCTCAGTCTTCCCAGTGACGTCGTCACTCCAGTCAACGTGCCTCGGCTAACTGCACTGCTAGCTGCTCACCCTGATGCCCTGTTTCGTGATTATGTATGTGCTGGCATGTTTAACGGCTTCTCGATTGGTCACACCACTCCTCTGGTATCATGCATTCAATCTGTCAATCATCCGTCCAGTCTCTGCAATAAACAATTTGTCACCCTGTACCTACAGTCTTGTTGCGATGCTGGGGAAACAGCTGGTCCGTTTGCTGAGCCGCCATATCAGCTGTTTCAAACCTCGGGTTTGGGCCTGATCCCAAAATCCAATGGCAAATTTCGCCTCATCCATGACCTATCCTCCCCCACTGGCCGCAGTGTCAATGATGGTATTTCCCGGGAGTCATTCAGCTTGGAGTATGACACTGTCGATTCGGCTATTTCCTATATCATGAAGTTCGGCCGTGGTTGCTACCTGACCAAAGTGGACATTCGAAACGCCTTCCGATTATGCCCTGTTGCCCCCTCTGACTGGCACTTGTTGGGTATCTCTTGGGATGGTCGTTACTATTTCGAAAAAGTCCTCCCGTTCGGCCTTCGGTCAGCTCCGTACATATTTGACAAGTTTGCATCTGCCCTTCATTGGGTTCTGGAGGACACATGCCGCCTTCCCCATCTCATTCATTATCTGGATGACTTCCTGAATGTATCGCCTCCCAGTCTTCCTCTTGCCCAGCACCAGAAGTCACTACTGCTCGACCTGTTTGCATATTTACAGGTCCCAGTTGCACCTGAGAAGGTTGACGGCCCCTCTACGGTTCTCACCTTCCTGGGCTTAGAGCTGGACACAATGGCTCTGGAGATCCGCCTTCCACCCTCAAAGCTGACTAAGCTATCTACCACCGTGTCGGCCCTCGTCCAATCCGGCCGGGTTCAGAAACGCGACCTCGCCTCCGTATTGGGCAAACTCTCGTTCGCGTCCAGAGCTGTACCAGCTGGTCGCACATTCCTGAGACGCCTGTACGACCTGGACAGAGCAACTCGATCAACACCATTGCACCAATGGCTACGCATTTCGGCATCGGCAATGGCAGACCTGTTGTGGTGGGCAGAGGCCCTGACCATATGGAATGGGAAGTCATTCTTCCTGGTGGATGAGTGGACGCCAGCCCCCGACATGCAACTACAGACTGATGCCAGCGGCACTCACGGTTATGGTGCCTTCTACAACGGCCGGTGGCTGAGAGGAGAGTGGACAGCCCAGAACGAGAACGAGAACATTGAGTTCAAAGAAATGTATGCTATCATAGTTGCCTGCGCGACCTGGGGTTCGGAGTGGAGCAGGCGACGCATTCAGTTTCAGTGTGACAACAAGGCCGTGGTGGACTGTATACGCTCCGGTACCTGCCGTTCACCGCCAGTCATGACACTTATCCGGGCATTGTATCTGCTGTGTATTGAGCATGACTTCTTGGTGTCAGCTGTCCACATTCCTGGTGTCACTAACACTGTCGCCGATGCATTGTCTCGCAATTTGCTGCAGGTATTCAGGCACCAGGCCCCGGAAGCAGCAGCCGAGCCAGATCAGCCAGTCTTGCCAACTCTCCGTTGACAGACTCCGTGCTACAGCTAGCAGCACTGGCAATAGCACCATCCTCCCGCCGGACGTATTCTACCGCCGAGACCCGCTACTTCCAGTTCTGCCAAGTGCATGCCTGCAACCCATTGCCGGGCGACGACTTTACTTTGTGCTATTTTGCTGCCGAGTTGTTCAGGACTCTTCAGCCTCGATCTGTCCGTGTCTACATGTCGGCAATCCGCAACCTTCATGTGGAACTTGGCTTTGCTTACCCGTCGGGCCCAACAACTCTCCTCGCTAGGGTCCTGCGGGGCATCGACAGGTCGTCATCGACACAGCGTCATCGTCTGCCGATAACCACTCCACTTCTCAGGGAGATCTGCCGGCATGTTGCCGTTCCACGCATGCGGCACCCTCACGACAAGGCCATGCTAAGGGCAGCTTTTTCCTTGGCGTTTCATGGGTTCTTCCGTTGTGGAGAACTGACTGCTGGCCTGAGGCGATGTGATGTGACGATCAGTACTGACCAGCGGTCGTTATCGGTAAACGTGCGCTCATCTAAGACGGACCCCGACAGCATGGGCCACACAGTATTGGTTGGAGCCAGCACGGACGCACTGATCTGCCCAGTGCAGGCCATGGCAAACTACCTGGCGTTTCGCCCCGGCGGCGACCATCTGTTCACTTATGCTAATGGCCAGCCGCTTACAAGAAATGCAGTGTCCTCTGAACTGCGCAACCTGCTGCCACTCTGTGGGGTCACGGACCCGAGTGCATATGCCAGTCACTCTTTCCGGATTGGCGCCGCAACATCAGCGGCCATGGCAGGTGTCCCCGAACACATCATCCGTATCATGGGTAGATGGCGCAGTGATGCGGTCCACCGCTACATCCGGGCTGCTACAGCTGACACCCTGCGAGTGTCACGTCAATCAGCTGCAGTTCAAAGTCATCAATGGTAGCTGCGGGTTAGTGACCACATCATGCCTGAACTGCTTAGCTTTAGCTTTACATTGCTGCTGTCAGTACAGCACAATACACCAGTCGTATTTCATTATTACTCTCATGCCATATTGGGGATATTGGGAACGGGCAGTCTATCTCCGCAGCTGGCTCATTTCAATCACTACCGGTCGCAGCTCCTGCCCACGGCAGGCCGACCGTCTCTCGTTCACACTCTGTGTGCTCCAGGTCACAGCTCCTGCGCAGAGCAGGCCGACCTGTCTGTCTCTCTCTCACACACACTATGTGTGCACCGGGTCACAGCTCCTGCGCAGAGCAGGCCGACCTGTCTTTCTCATGCACGCCAGCTGCTCCGCCCAATATCCCTGATATGCCAACCAGAAAACAATGTGTTCTGAGCCGGGTGCATGCCTGTATGTGGAGAGTGCGTTAATGGTGGTTTAGCGTGTGCGCTAAGCCCTGTTAACGAACGTGGAACATCTACCACTCATACTTAGTCTGATGATCATGCATCTGATTATGATGTCATTGCTATACATGCGCATGCGCAGCGCGCGCCACTCTCCCACGCATGCATTCCAAATCTTGCTTTAGAGAGGGAGAAGGAGAAAAGAGAGACTCCTTTGTCACTTTTGCTTTCTGACGACTTGACTGTTCACTGGTTTGTCCGTCAGTGTCAATTTCCCCTTCCCTCCCAACCCCATTCGACTGGGGATCACTATCTCTCTGTCACTGTCACCATAATTTCCTCAATAACAGTGTCAGTACAATTCTTGTCAATATACTTATATCGGGTGAGGGCAGTCTATCTCCGCAGCTGGCTCATTTCAATCACTACCGGTCGCAGCTCCTGCCCACGGCAGGCCGACCGTCTCTCGTTCACACTCTGTGTGCTCCAGGTCACAGCTCCTGCGCAGAGCAGGCCGACCTGTCTGTCTCTCTCTCACACACACTATGTGTGCACCGGGTCACAGCTCCTGCGCAGAGCAGGCCGACCTGTCTTTCTCATGCACGCCAGCTGCTCCGCCCAATATCCCTGATATGCCAACCAGAAAACAATGTGTTCTGAGCCGGGTGCATGCCTGTATGTGGAGAGTGCGTTAACAAGCAAATACATACCGAAGCAGTTGTTCTCCGATCCAGGTCTCTCAGGTGCACATTCTTCAGCTTATGCCGCTTAATGATCTGCAACGCACGGCAAAAGCATACCAGAACGAAAATTCAGTCTCTAGCAATTGAAAACTACACCATCGCCACATCTGCAAACCACAACCAGCACAACAGCAGTTCAGTACACACAATTATACTTTCCAAGTACAGTAAAACCTGTCACTGAGGTGACCACTCTGATAAGGTGACCACCTGTCCTGGAGGACCACTACAATTAGGAGCAAGCGATATTATTCACAGTCAAATTACCCTGGATAAGGACTATTAAGGAGACCAACTGCACACAGCAACCACATTTCGAAGGTCCCTTGAGCGGTCGCCTTAGACAGGTTACAGCGTACATCGCAACTTGCACTTCTAGCAATCACAACTAATCAGTATGGCCATGTAAGAACCAAGAACCTACGCTGTACAAATGTTCGGAGCAGTCTTCCAGCTGTCGTTGGTAGTACTCGCGTTCCACTGGCTTGAACTTGATCATCTCAATGGATACAGTTTGATCTGGAATGCCCAGCTAGAGCAAATAGTGCACGGGACAAGACAGACAAACAGTGGTCAGACGATAGAACACTGCCCAGGAGAGATAGCAGCGACAACGTACAGTGGTTACATTGTAATTCTCGTTTTGCAAGAAGTTACCTGTCTTTCAGATATTTAGAAAAAAGGTAGTGAACTTGAAATACTCACCTCGTGCTCAACATCCTTCTTGGCAGTGCGCCACATGACGTTGGACAGAAGGCCATGCATAGCGTCAGTGTGGCCATTGCAATACGGATCGTACGCAGCATCTTTCCACCAGCCCTGCACGCAGTATGGCCAGGCATTCAGGAAGTACAATAGGCCGTAGAGATCTACAAAGGGAGCATGTAAACATCACACAGCAGCAGATGCAGAAACTTTAAATTGTCTTGGAGCATAGCAACACAAACATGACAATAATGTTACATCCGTTACCGGTAGCAACACAAACATGACAATACATCCGTTTACCGGACAAGCAACAAACATGTAATCCAGTAAAATAACAGTGCATGCTATACATGAACACACAACACACACACACACACACACACACACACACACACACACACACACACACACACACACACACACACACACACACACACACACACACACATATAAATACACATGTACATGTACATAACACCCAGGCTCAGTCAGTACTACCAAGAGTAGATAAACAAGAGTGAGCAACTCTGGGCTGGGTTGGCCTGCGGCGGAATTTTTTGTTGACATAATCTTTTCGACGACGCACGCGCTGCGGGTCTTTTGGAAAGTTTTGCCTCGTGCACTTGGCCGGGCTTTACATTACGAGGTCGGTGCCCAGCACGTGCTCTCACACTGCTCTCCGGCAAAATGCGCGTTTTCTGAAGAAGAAAAAAAGGTGACGTCAACAAAAAATTCCGCCACAGGCGGGGGTATCTGCAGATTGTGCAGAAGAGATCCGGAGTTGCACACTCTTGTTTATCTACTCTTGCTACTACAGATACTCTAATTTCAGAACATCGAAAATTCCGGTACGCCGTGAAAAGTGCACTCTCGGTGTACTGTACTTTAATTTTCAGTGTAGGTGGTTCTGGAGTTAACAGTTTGCACGTGCGAACAGATCAACAGATCCGGTGCATGCGCATGTACGAGTTGAGTCACGGACTACAAGTATGTGTGAAGTGTTGCATGCTATCGACATGTCCGTGTGCACTGTCTCAAAAGCGCGTATAATCGCACACATCCGTTTTCCACAAAAATATCCGGATAGGCGAGGGAACCGGATAATTGAACACACATACTGTATCTGTGCAGGGCATATGCTGTAAATCGGTCATCAACAATTTTCTTCCAGATGGCGAGAGATCCGGATAAACGAGGACCGGATAAGCGAGGTCTGACTGTACTAGTACCTGCAGATGGCATGCACTAAACCGCGGACCGGTAGACCAGTGTCAGTTACAGCTAGTGCATGCAGGCGCAGTACAGTAGAGTACGAGTCATACGATGGCTACGTGGTGTAAAACGCGTGCATGCAGCTCACTTTTTTTAGGAACAGAATGATGAACTGTGACTTGTCCGCAATGCATGACTCGACGGTAGGCTGCTTGCATCCACTATGCTGTATACGCATGTAGACCGTCGACGTCGATGTGTCGTAGATGCACCACTGCACTGGCGGTGAAGTGACAAGGGGACAAGTCCGCAAGGAAAGCCACCGGATCGGAAGCAACTCTTTCGCTTTGCGGTCGCGCTTGCTGCATGCAACTCTTGTGAACATGTGCCATGCCAGTGGTAGTACTGCTACAGCCAATGCTAGTTGTAGCAAATTGTAGATTGGACTACTACTGGCAGTCCGTGAGGAGACCAAGCGTAAGTGTCTTCCAATGTTGCGAAGTGGAGACTGAAAAAGTCAAGTCAGTGCGAGGTAGGAGTTTCGACAGTGTGGTTTGCTTAGTTTTTAGTGTCAAAGAGATGTCGAGTCCTCTGGTGAAATGGCTATCGAAAAAGAATCCCGCATTGGAGGGCAATTTTGGCAAAGCCGAAAACTCCATTGCTGCCCGATCCGAACAAAGCAGCGACTCGTGAAGATGGATTTGTTTGTGCCGCTGCTAACTCCTCGATCGACGAGTCAGTGAAGACCACCGCAGCCGAGAACACGAAGAAGAGGAAGCGTTGTTCTCGCAACAACTACGACGGTGAGACAAGACCTGACATGGCTCGCTGTGCCAATCAGCATGGCCTGAAAGCTACAGCGAATCACTTCTCGAAGACACTTGGCCACACTGTAACTTACACGACGATACAGAGCATACACAAAAAGTTCCGGGAGCAACTGAGGACCCAATCAGATCCGAGTAAGATTGTCTCATTACCGCGCGGACAACGAGGACGCCCTCTATTATTATCTGGCGACATCGGTGTTATGGTGCGTTGGCATCTGCGCGCCATCCGTGCTGCAGGAGAAGTGGTGAACCGACGGATCACTATCAGCTGTGCCGTGGGAATTGCTCGGTGTGTGCAGCCATCGATCCTTGCGGAGAATGGTGGCAGTGTTCGGCTGACAAAGTTCTGGGCCAATTCCATCCTGAGCCGCATGAACTTCGCAAAGAGGAAGTGAATAAAAGGACTAGCAGTCCTCCTCCATTTCTGCCACCTACGTTCGCCATGAGAAAGCGAAGAAGAGATCGTATGAAGAGAGGCTGCGGGAGATTGAGCATGCTTCATTTGTCCCGTTGGTCTTCTCGACAACCGGTGGCATGGGCAAGCAATCTGCCTCGCTTTACAAGCGTATTGCACCTCTCATTGCTGAGAAAAGCAGCGAACCGTATTCGGTTGTTATGTCATTCATCCGCTGCCGCCTTAGCTTTGCGTTGCTCAGAGCAAGTGTCATGCGCCTGCGTGGTAGCCGCTCTGTTTTCGCTGTACATACACCTGTCTCTTCTTCTGCCTCCCTAGTTGCTGCCGAAGCTGGCACTTCCAGTCATTAATTGTATAGTCTTTAATTCTTTAATATTATTATTTGCCATGGCGACCCCCGTAAGCCCAAATAGCTGGCAGGGCAGGGTTGGGCCTTTTTCTTTTACTTCACAGGTGTAGCATTTTATCAGTCATTACGTATGATTTATGCAGTGGCAGTACCAGGCGTGGGCCATCTCCTGGATTATCAAAATGGGTGCCTTATCATTTTTCTGTTGTTAAAAAAAAATATATATATATATATTGCCGAGCCTGGCACTGCAGACTTTAAAAACAAAACAAAAAAAACAAAAAACAACAACAACAACAACAACAACAACAACAACAGGCAGTTACTAGCAACCTCGTGTTTATTTTCCTAGTACTGTACTGGTATACTACACAGTGCATAAATATTAGTGCAGGTTGAGTGTGCAAGTGTTTAAATACTGATACTGTAGTAGAAGTGAATGATGCAATCAATATTCAGCATAATTATTATGTTTAGGCCATCATTTTTTATATCTATGTTTCGCGTCAGTTCAACTTCCAGAATCATATGCGAGAGGTGGAAAAAAATAAAAAAGTTGCAAAATAATAAAAAAAGGCTCATCAGAGGTGTATGCACTGTACATAGCACAATAGCTCGTGCATTGTGTACATTCGAATGAAAAATTGTGCATCGTAGCACAACATCTGGGTTATCAGCATGAGTAAAATATTCACTTTGGACAGAGGAGGCAACCGTTGGTGCCTATGCTTCGCTGGAATATTGTACTCAGACTTTAGCAGCGGTGCAAAGAGCTCCGGAACGATGCATCCTCTCAGCTTAGGCGATCAATGCGGTCTGGTGTAAGCTCAAAGAATATTGCTCCCAGATGCCGAACAAACGATTTACCAACGCTGGCCGAGGCTAGAGGCCATTTCTGAATCCCAGCTTCGCCGTATGCAACCTGTCCACACTGATGACTCGCACTATCGTACACTCACTGTGCATGTTTTATTTTTTATTTTTTCCGAAAAAAATCTAAACGTATGCGTGCGGACGACGCGAAACATAGCTATAAAAATGATGGCCTTATAGAAAGAAAGAAAAATGGACCAAGGAACTACAAGTTACGCTATAATGCCCACTAACGCCACCAGTTACTAAACAATCAGCTCACGTGTATAACGTATAGCGTAACTTGTAGTTCCTTGGTCCTTTCTTCTTCTTCTATAAATTAATAAACTCGGATGGAGAGCCAAGGATTAAAATTCAAAAAGAGGACCAAAAGTTTACAAGTTTGACTCAACAGTATTCTGCTTATAACCGTTAGTGTTGGACAAAACGGATAACTTGTAAACTTTTGGTCCTCTTTTTGAACTACAGGTAGAATCCTGATAATTCGAATATGGCTTAATTTGAACATACCGCTTAATTAGAAGTTTTTCCAGGACCGATTTCTATCAATACGATTCCCACATAAAAAAATCTGATAATTCGAACCTCGAACTGGATATGTCCGGTTAATTAGAAGTCCCACAGATTCCACCTACATAGAAAATGTGTGGGATTTGTGCTGATAATTCGAAGTTAGCAAAGTGTAAGGGGTCGTCCATAATTATCGAACTTTTTTCACGAAACGAAATAATTTCGTTATGGGGTGGGAGGGGGTTTACCAATTTCGTTTCAGAAAACTTCGATACGTGTACATGGCCATAGGAGCAGTGACACACTTGCGACTTTTGTTGTATATGCTACATTGTATATGTCAACAATTTTTACGTTCTGAGGGGGAGGGAGGGGTTGGGTCTAAACTAAAATAATTCGTTTGGTGAAAAAAGTTCGATGTTTACGGACGGCCCCGAATTCGAAGTTCACTTTACATTGTACTGGTCAGTTCAGTTTGCATGAGCAGGCTGTGCAGGTCAGTTCAGTATCCCTAAAATCTGTGTCTAAGGTCCATTGCGCAACTCTGCGTGACCATGAGAGCATTTTGACATACATATTGTGTTGTCGATTCATGTTTGGATAATAAGAATGCCCGGATAATTAGAATTTTTTCCAGGCATTTTGAGGTTCGAATTATCAGGATTCCACCTGTATAAATTAATCCTTGGCTCTCCATCCGAGTCCAATTATTATGTTGTAAACCATTACAGTCTTTGCCTCTGTGGAGTGTTACAGTCTGCATGGAAGGCGCAAATTTAAAATTATTTTTTTGAAAATTTTAGGTGTACTTTTATTTTAGGTATGTGAGCGACGTGCCGAAAGTACCGAAAATAAAGAGACACCGAAAATTTCTGAAATTAGAGTATCTGGCCGAGTGTACAGTTAACTGTGCACCACACTGCACATTGCTCACTTAACGAGTAACTTACCATCCAATCCTCGATTGATAGGTGTGCCTGTTACGCACCATCGATGCACTGCAGCTAGTTTGTTAGCCATTTGAGCTGCCTGCAGAGTACCCACAACGACAGGGTTACGTTCAGTGCATCATTGCCTAAGTACCTTACACTTCAGTGAATAGTGTGCGTGCGTAAACATGCTATCATATCAAGATGAAAACATGTAGTGTCAAACAAGGAAACAATGTGGGTAGGCAATGGGCAATGGAAGCCTAAACTCACCTTGGCATTGGTGTTTTCCACCATTTGAGCTTCATCCAGGCAGATCTACAGCACAAAGGGAAAAAATTCGGTTCCACCAGGCCACAAGAAGTTGAGGTAGAGAAGCACTATAACCTAAATGAACAACTCCAAGGAAACAAACATGATAGAAGAGAAGGCGAATGACAACAAAGCAAGGCATATGACATCAGTGGTAGTGGAGAAGGCAAAATCATAGTCATCTTACACGCCAGAATTTCAGACCGATGAGCGGACTAGGCATTGCAATGTAGCGGCGCTTGTGTCGTCTTGGACGGTCGTCTTGACCTGAAGTTGAAACAACAACGAGACTGCATGAGTCAACACATGAAAACTTCAACATGGAGCATGCAGTCAATCAAGCCTTGCACACCTCATGTACAGCTTATGATGGTACAGTCGACCTACCCTTATAACGATATTTGCGTCACACCAAGAAATATTGTTATAAGGGTAATATTGTTATAGGGGTAACTGGTGCATTTCATACACATACGTCATAATGCATGAATTCTGTTCATTTTTTACACTCTTCATAGCATAAAAAACTGATGTACATGCACATTATGTGCACAGCAAGGTGCCCACTGGTGCCCCCATTGCATTTCTTCATGTCCCAGCGACTTATCAAGTGAAGCTTGCCCTACCTGGATAGTGGGCTCTACATGTTGCCTGCTAGATATTGTTATAAAATGGAAAATGTCGACTGGTCAGCCCATTTTATATCGTTATAGGGGTAATATCGTTATAGCAATATTGTTATAGAGGTAAGGCGTTGTATACACAAGTCAATGGAGTGATTTGGTTTGGCAGAAAAATATCGTTATAGAGGTTATCGTTATAAGGGTAGGTCGACTGTACTGGATAAGACTGTGTCAAGACAATATCTACACTTTCACAACAGGAAACAAACAAGCAGATCATTTAGATCATTTAGAAGAGTCATACCTATCAAATTTGTTTTCGGAACAATATTTCTGTGTCGTGTCAAAGTCTGAGAAGAGAACAAGCTCAAGTAGTACCGTGGTGTACAAGAATATGAACTGGCTGTAAGTCATAAAGGAATAAATACATACCAAACTTGAGCACAGCGTGTGACAAGTCCAATGTTAAGACGTGATACGTGGTGACAATGATATCATATTCTGCCAGCTCACTCGGATTCAGGTAGCCGTTCGCAACGCCAGTGTAATTCTAAAAAAACAATGACGACAACGACAAAGACAACAACAACAACAACAACAACAACAACAACAACAACAACAACAACAACAACAACAACAACAACAGTGAGCAACACACCAATACCTATACAAAGAATAAAACAAAAACAAAGGAAGAATGGCCAAGGGCAGGTACAGACATGCAGGTAGCTCCAAAGCTGAATAGCTGAATAGCTGTATAGCTGGCCTGGTTTGAAATCATCATCATCATCAACATCATAGACAGGATGATGTGACAGCAGGTAGGAGCACAAGATGCTCTTCTCCAGACCCATTCACTGACATGGATTTCACCAGGAATGGATAATAACAAATGGCAACGTGCTACAGAGTGTCAGAGTGCCAGCCCACACATACCAGCCACTTGAATGTACCAGGACGACTGTGCAGCTTCACCTCGTCAAGCCACTGGCCTGAGATCTGCGATGGAGAAATGATCAATGTTGTTTTGCATGGCATCGGGTCCTGCAAAGCACACACACACACACACGTGACAGCGTCAAGCGGGCAACACCGCACATAACACAATTACCATGAAATTACAAACAAACAACCCCATAAGCATGTAGAGAACTTGAACACTTTAAAAGAAAAGAACAGGACAGTACAATGCATTGGTAAAGAAGAACGCGCAGGATACACCATGCGCAACTTCACACAGTGACCAAAGTGCATGTGCACTTACAATCTCATCGTACTATGCATTCAACATGGCACGTGATGTGAAAGCACCAAGGGTTCATCAAACACATCCCATGGTGGATGCAGCATGTGGATAGTGCATGTGATCTGGCTGTGCGAGACAGTGTGCTCAGCAAGGGCATTTACACATGGCTTCACATGTACCACATGTACCGGTCATTAATAATAATAATAATAATCTCTCAGTTTCTGCGTCGGCTTTCAATATTTTTGCTTTGGTTTTTACAATCCTTTTTGCTTCGGTCTTCATTGCGTTGGCCATTTATCTATTTTTTTTCTCTCATTACCCTTGGTCTCTTTTGGCCCGGTGATGGGGTTCTTACCTCATGTCATGACAACGTGAGTGAAATAAAGCCAACTCCACAATTTATAATAATAAACACAGCTCTCATCTTCCCTGAACCTGTCAAGGTTACATGCAAACTCACTCACCAGGTATATCCATACTTCTACATGTCTGTGATGACAAGGAGATACTTTTTCTTATTCTTCAATTTCTCTAGCATACACAGTTCAAGCCAAGCGCACTCGGACTATAACATGATGCAGCAACGACTATAACGTGATGCAGCAATAGACACGACTGCATGACAGTTTTACGAGGTGGTTCTTACTCGTGATGCGTAACACTGTGGACAGATGTAGTCACCGTTGGGCAGCTTGGTCTTGAAGTAAACACAGGCTTTGTGCTGCCAGCCATTGCAGCGCACACAAAAGACGTGCTCGGAGCAGTTTGCCTGCGAATCCTCAATCTTCTCATTGCACAAGCAGTTACCAGCGTTCGCATGCTCATTCGCTGTGTCATCGCTGGCTTTCCAGGATGCACAAGATGATGGCTTTGCCGTAGGAGGGTGTGATGGTGCGTCAATATTAGTTACGTCCTTCAACGATGTTGTACTGGCGTTAGTGCAGGACTCGCTGGCGAGGTCAATAGACATGGCAGATGTAGTCCCTGATGGAGTTGGAGGCTGAGAAGTAGCTGCACCATTCACAGTCGGCCCTGGAGCCACGAGAGCCTGTGCAGAGCTTCCTGTGGTGGCTTTGGACTGCCTGCTGACAGGGTCAGATAACGTATACGGGTTACACAGGATAGTTGCCAGCACCTCCACTGTCTTACCCAAGCCCATCTCATCGGCCAGGATTCCTCCGGACATATGCCAGGCAGGAAAACGATGTCGGGTCATTCTATGAAACAAAACACACCCACGCCCACACCCACAGAAACAAACACACACACACACACACACACACACACACACACAACCACACACATACATACAAGGGCAAAGTTGGTGTGTGTGTGTGTGCCAGCTAGTTCGGTTGGTGGGTACACTTATGCCAGATAGTGTTGGGTCTGTTGCCAACAGGCTCGGCTGCTTGAAGGTGTTATGTTGTACCTACCACCTTTGTTGGTTCCAGGGTTCATATACGTTCTATTTGAAGTATACATACCTGTTAACCATGGACTACTTCTGGCTAGATTAACTCTTGTGTAATCAATGGTGCTAGTGAAGCTTTTATCAGATCCACTCTGATTTAGCCACCCACACTAGTAGCAAGTATTACCTTCACTGCGGGCAGGGGTAACTGCAGTTGGATCCCGGGACGGATACCCTGATGCCGTCAATCCTTTTTCTGCACCTTGTCCTCACCCACTTACTGAGGTGTGGCGAGCCCATAAGTGGGATCATTTTCAAGTCCACCCAGAGTTTTGGGGATTTCAGGGGGTGTCGGCCGTTGGGCGGTTCAATAGCCAATTCAGTCATCTTTCCAAGATTCCTTTTGAGTCTCTCTCCCCTCTCCCGGGGAGACCCACGTGACCAGTTTTGGCAGTGAGCAACAAGTGTGTGCGTGCGTGCGTGTGCGTGTGTGAATGCATGCATGGGTGTGTGTGTCTGTGTGTGATTGTGTGTACAAACAACTATTATGTAGAAGCTATGCAAATCACCCATGAGGCAGCACTCTATGGTGTGATCTATGACAATGTCATAACTATGCACATGGCACACATGTCCAAGTACTAGTAGTGTTGTAACATCTCAAGTACTAGTAGTGTTGTAACATCTCAAGTACTAGTAGTGTTGTAACATCTCAAGTACTAGTAGTGTTGTAACATCTCAAGTACTAGTAGTGTTGTAACATCTCAAGTACTAGTAGTGTTGTAACATCTCAAGTACTAGTAGTGTTGTAACATCTCAAGTACTAGTAGTGTTGTAACATCTCAAGTACTAGTAGTGTTGTAACATCTCAAGTACTAGTAGTGTTGTAACATCTCAAGTACTAGTAGTGTTGTAACATCTCAAGTACTAGTAGTGTTGTAACATCTCAAGTACTAGTAGTGTTGTAACATCTCAAGTACTAGTAGTGTTGTAACATCTCAAGTACTAGTAGTGTTGTAACATCTCAAGTACTAGTAGTGTTGTAACATCTCAAGTACTAGTAGTGTTGTAACATCTCAAGTACTAGTAGTGTTGTAACATCTCGAATTTTAAAGTAACACTGCCCAGCATCAATAGTAACAACAACACTAAGGTACCGTGTGTACCGTGTGTACCACATCATGAGAATTATATGCATGAGTGATCCACGCTTTTTTACAACAGGCAGTTCCCGCCAGTGACTGCTCACAAACCTCACCTCCATGAGTACGGGTTGAGGTAAAGAGTATGTCCACTCTCGGAACGGAACTCTTTCCACAGCGGATGCAAGACGCCATTGCTTCCAGCTGTGACGCAACATTGACAAGGAAGCATATGTGTGGGTGACAAGCCGAGGGAGTAGAAAACAATAAACAGAATCATTACATGTAAAATGATACCATCCGGTTGGTAAATGGCGCAAGACTCACAATGTACAACGAAGACCTGGTTGCTCTCCTGGAAAACTAACTTCAATACCACTACGATGTAGCATGCACGGTCTGATTCGAACAACAACTGCACATGTACACTCAAAGTCCTGACTCAGTCGATTTTCATTCGAGTGTATGACCCAAATACTAGTACCTTCCCAATAGTGGTAAATTGTGGTAATCCTCCGCAATCAGCTAGAATAACTACGAAACCTCAACGAGAAGTCTGACTTAGCGGCAAACACTCAAACTAACTGAAAACTAACTTGCTCAGAGGCAGTAAATATTGCACCCTGGATGTATTTACCCGTTAAGGTACATCGTTTGAAATTGAAAGATGCAGACATGCACACAGTCAGCGTGATATACAGCTCGCAAAGCTTCACGGATCGCACTGAAACTTTGCAGGACAGCAGCCAGGCTATGAGGGGTTTCGAACCTCCACAGACACCCAGGGGCCATGATAACACAAGTTAATAATATCCTCGGATGGAGAGCCAAGGATAAATTTATAATTTATAATAGTATCCTGTTCCCAATTGTGCGAGTAGAAGTGCAGGTGATAATTTCCACCAATTTCCAATTTCTCGGTAATCACATCACTTTGTAACTTCATGTAAAAGAGTTCCAGCGCCTTGACCTGTTGCTTCTGCATGCACAGCACTGGCTTTAGGTTGTGGGGTGTACACCACCCCCAGTGCATAACGATGCGGCCGATTTCGCGCCGAGGTGATGGCGATGAGGCAGTGATTTAACTCCTGCGGGATACACGCCGACTGTTCCTTGAGGTGCCAGTCACTGCTGCTACTCCTGACTGGGTGGGTGCCGGGGTGGGCTTCATCAGTAGCTTGTCAGGTAATGTGACTACCGTAACCGAACTATACATGTGTCTGTTGTACTCAAACCGGTCCCATTTCCCCCTCCCTCATACTCCCTTATGTACAGTGGCCGAAACAGCTTGCTGTCTACAGCATTGGGTATGTACAGTAAGAGATAGGTTCTCATTACTAGCAGTTAGCGCTAAAGTTCATTACGTGCCTTTCTAGTTACATGGCATCGCTTGACTTGCTGTCCTTCATTCCCATGTTTCCAGTGTGAAAATGAGTCGAACATCTTTTTGGAAAATTTCTTGGGTCGGTTTGAGTGACGAAATATAGATTTGTATTGACGGTTGCCATTGCTTTTCAAGTTACAGTAAAAACATAAGCGGACGAGTGATAATGCATGTCTGCTGCCAGTTGCAGCCTAACAGGCTACTAATTGCCGATTCACTCCCACGTTCTCCCTCTCAGAGTCAATGCTGTGAATTAGTCCGGCCAATGAGTTGAAAGTGCAGAAAACTATTGCTCCCTATTTGAAGCAGTGTTCTGTAACGAATGGGCGGCGCGGAGACAATAACTTTATTATAGACCTTATTCGATACACGTCACGGGTCACGTGGACCCCAGTCACGAACCTACGAAAAACTGGACGAGTGGCAAGAAGTGTTTTGTTTTGAAAGTGCGTGTTGATAGTTGTGGGCAAGTGTGTTTGGAGGAGAGCTTTGGAATTGTTCTGGGTAGCTGTCACTGTCGTTGGTCAGGGAGACGTGGGTAGGGAGTGTAGTAGTATGGTGAAGAGTTGCTGTGCAGTTGGTTGCGCTAACCGTTTCGCGAAAGGCGGTGGAAAGAGCTTTTATAAGTTCCCAACTAATCAGCTCAGGAGAGCAAAGTGGATTGCTGCGCTGAAGCGCAAGAACTGGCAGCCCAACGCTTCCAGTTGGGTGTGCTGCGATCACTTTGTAAGGTTCAAGAAGAGCGACGATCCACTATCCCCTGATTTCGTCCCGTCTGTTTTTTCAGACGAGGGTCGAGTAAATGGTGAGAAAGCTTACGTAAAATTTGATCGCCACAAGGCCCGACGTCGACGGCATGCAGCTTCAAAGCCAACAGCTCAGCCTGAAGATACCTGCCATGGCAATCATGAGCCCGTGCTGACTGGAGAAAGTGACTGTAATGCTGACAAGGAAATCGAAGAGGAGAGTGCGCCGAGAGATTCATGTTCGTCAGACTCTGTTGAGCCAGCGTCCCCAGCTCAGCCAGAGCTCACTGAAGCCAGCAGCCATGTCGACAATAGTGCTGAACAAGAAAATGACGATCTAGCCTTGCTTCAGGCGAGAGTGGCACAGCTGGAAGAGGACAAATGCCAGCTGAATGGTCAGTTGCAGGAACAGAAATCTGCTATTTCTGCTCTCACCGTCAAAGTACAGCACCTGGAAGCCACTGTGAAACATCAAAAATCAGAGGCGGCAATGTCTTCCATCATATCAGGATTCAAGTCCAATGATGACATGGTGAGATATGAAACTGGCCTCCCATCTTTTGCTGTGCTGGAGAAAGTGTTCGCATTTGCTGGCAAGGACATCCCCGACCACCACCGAGCGGCACTTCCGTCCTTTGCGCAGTTTATTATTGTCCTGATGAAGCTGCGCCTCAACTTGCACGATCAAGATCTAGCACATCGCTTCGGCATCAGCCAGTCTACCGTCTCAAAGTACTTCCACAAATGGATCCACGTCCTTTATGGCAGGCTGCAGCCGTTGATCATCTGGCCAGAGCGCTCCGAACTGTACCGCACGATGCCATTGGAGTTTCGCGGACATTTTGGGAAGTGCATTTGCATTATTGATTGTTTTGAAGTGTTTTGCGAAAGGCCACATGATCTGATGGCCAGGGCTCAAACCTTCTCTAATTACAAACACCACAACACGGTTAAATTTCTTATTGGTATCACCCCGCAAGGCACTATTTCCTTCATCTCCAAAGGATGGGGTGGCCGGACATCGGATAAGTACATCACGGAGCATTGCGGGCTGTTGGACAAGCTATTGCCGGGTGATCAGCTAATGGCAGACCGGGGATTCACGGTCAGTGATGCCGTTGGCCTGCACTGCGCTGAGCTGGTCATACCTCCGTTCACAAGAGGCAAGAAGCAACTGTCGAGAATCAGCATTGAGAAGGCCAGGAAGCTGTCTCGGCTACGAATCCATGTGGAACGTGTTATCGGCAACTTGCGGCAGAAGTACACTATTCTGCAGTCAACCCTGCCAGTGAACATGCTGATGAGTGATGCCTCAACAGGAGTGTGCACCATCGACAAGATTGTCCTGGTGTGCTCTGCGCTGTGCAACTGCTGCGACTCAGTGGTGCCTTTCCAGTAGAAGTACTGAAGTATTGACTTGTTTTTTACTTTTTTTGTCCCGTATTGTGGAACGTGTGGCATGTTGTTGCTGCATAGATTACCTGGACAGGAGTGCAATGCAAATTATGTTACTTGTATTTTACCACTCCCTCGAAGAACGGCTTTTGTCCCTGTGTCTAGTTAGCACCAATGTGTAAATCTCAATCAATCACACTCCATTACACACACACACACACACACACACACACACACACACACACACAGACACATACACACACACACGTCATGTTTCAAAAAGCACAACTTGAAATCATCATATGATTTCATCTTTTTCGCTTGCCTGCACATAATAATAACAAGCCCCAGTGGTCATATTGACTCAAGTTCAAATTTCTGACATGGTGGAATGTATGATCCTGCAGCCATGCATGAGCATGGCTGTTGATTTCTATGTACATGTATGGTGCAATCATTTGTGTGAGAAGTGAGAGTTTTGGTGGGTTGGGCATAGCTCCTAGTTACATAATTGCATCAGGATACATGCATGTATGCACACACACACACACACACACACATACACTACTACTACTGCTATGTACAGCTGCCCTATCGGGCCATGCCGCTATCATAAGCGGGAGACAACAACTAAAAGAGAGAAGAGAGGAAAGAAAGAGCGAGAGTCAACAGAATCTAGCATGGCGTTGCACACACACACACACACACACACACACACACACACACACACACACACACACACACCCGTACACACAGTTATTCCTTCTTCTTGCATGCTGCACATATCCACTTGCGTTTTGGTTTCTGCTTCATGCGAAGACATACCAAGTGAAACGTCTTAACTCTGCAGTCTGGATGTGAGCATTCCACCACGTCGCCGTCCTTATCCTCGTTGCAAGTGCATACAGCTCCATCAGAATTGGCGGCAGTAGATTTGAAGGATTTTGTAAAATACTTGCCGACAATCTCTGGCAGCACGCCAGCCTTGTAGAAAGACGTGATGGCTTGGACTGTCTTGTGGAAATCTGGATCTGGATGAACGCGGATGACTACACATTCCCGCACGCTCCACACCACAAAATCCGAATATGCTGCCTTGCATACAAACATCTGTGCTTGCACTTGGTATGCATACTTGTGACCAAGGCGCAAATGGAATTTTCCATCGACCTCCTTCAAACAGAAGTTGGTGTCCTTTGCCAGATCATGGAAGGACTTGTTCACGGCTTTGAAAGGGCATTTCACCTCAAGGACGCCATATCCGCAGCAAGTACAATTGATGTTTCCATCAGGACTGGCACCGAGATACGGATGAGTGGTGGAGATGACGAATCCTGAATCAGTAACTTTGAAGTCGCAGTGGTTAGGCTCAAACAGTTTGACGTAGCAGTCTCGGGCAGTCTGCTCATGCTCCAAACCCCAAGTGGTCGCTGCAGAGGAAAACTGATATGCATCGGGGTAGCAAATTGCACGAATTAGAGATGATGATGGGTTCGCAGGGGGTGTGTGAGCAGCATCACGGAACTTTGAAGCTGTCACACGCCCTGCGCGGAACCTGAACCACAGCTTGCTCTTGCTCTGATCGCGGGTTGCCTTTTCAACAGCAGCCGATTCTGCTGCTGTCACTCCCATGCCCTTCAAAACATCATCACACCGGTTCAGCAACACATCGAGTGATGCGTCTAGCATTGCCTCATCATAGAGGTCGGTGATATAAGCTGGGAACCCAGCTGGGCGGGTTGGGACATACCTCTCGCAGAAACCAGGAACAATTGATAGTATCCCTGGCTTGCTCTGCGTGGAGGCAAGACCAGAAAAGAACTCGTTGACTTCACTGGTGGTTGGCACAGTGTATGTCGGCAGTTGTGTGGTGACCTCCACACTGGCTGCTGCTGGCTTAGTGCGCTTGCTGCTCGGCGCGGCGAAATCCATCTCGCATATCCTGGCATACTGCACAGGCTGCAGGGATGGGGCAATCCACTGACATTGCGTGGAGGTGCAGGCGGAATTTTCTTTCACGAAATCCGTCCTGGCCACCAGAGTAAATAGCAAGGCGGCAATGTGGGAGCATGCCTCACCCAGGCCAGCCATACACGTACAGTGGGCACAAAGCACACTCCCATCCATGTCAGCTGCCACCCAAGGCTGCAGCTCAGCAGAGGACACGGACTGGGAGTGACGGACCTTCGCCATCACAAATGCTCTCTTGCCATCCGCAGTTGCAGGAAAGGTGACGACATTGCCAACCCAACCAGCAACGAAAAACTGGTACCCCTCCAAGCTTTTGTACGCCTTCATCTCCTCTTTCGTGCAGGGACTCGGCGCGTTCACGAGATAGTGGTACAAATCAGGATACTCCACGCTGGGGAAATCAGGTGTGGCACCAGGCGTGAGAGATCTGCTCGTCACGTAGGGGTCCTGGTCCGAGCCGATGAACGCCAGCTTCTCGGCATACCGCGTCTTGCCCGCTCTATCCAAATCGCGATAGATTTCGGACAACTCTTGAACCGCCATCACTGCTAGAACACTCAAAACTACAAGAAGACTGCTTACTGCTCCTAACACCTGACAAACGCCAGCTTCTCGGCATACCGCGTCTTGCCCGCTTTATCCAAATCGCGATAGATTTCGGACAAGTCTTGAACCGCCATCACTGCTAGAACACTCAAAACTACAAGAAGACTGCTTACTGCTCCTAACACCTGACAAACCTGCATGAAAGTACTTCGAGAAAAGGAAGGAGACGAACTCCGATATTGAAAATACATTCAAAACAAATTTCCGTGATGCTCAGCTGAGGCCTTTTTGCCACTCGTCCGGATCACGCGTCCGAGTGCCGCGTGCGCATCCTCGAAGGCGCCCCGAAAAATCACGTGATCGAATAAGGTCTATAGCAATCAGCACTTTATTTGTCGTAATGCAGCAAATTCTTGTTGATTACTACGTCCAATGTCCGCTTCGCTGATACTGCTGATTGCTATTCTGTAATGACTTGGCAATGCATCACATTACTCACCATCACTAGTGCCAGAGCCATGGCGCTCTTGATGAAGCATCCAGCGCACAGCGCGTTGCTGATACCCGCGTAGCCGTGGAAGCAAGTTAGGATGTTGTGTTTCGTTCAGCTCCTGGGCGCGCACCTCCTCTGTTGTTGGATACCGGTCAGGTGATGCACTTTCCTTGCTGAGGTCCGACACATACGTATAGACGCCTTCCGGATTCTTACAAAACAGCGTGAGTTTTTGCTTGTTCAGTAGCTCACACCGGTCTGGTACCCAAAGCACGCACGCACACACACACACACAGAATGGCTCAACCATGTCCGAGCAAGACCCAAACTAGTTGCAGTAACATCGGTCGCCAAAGAAGAGGACGGGGGTACTATCTCCGCTTCTGGTTACTCACGTTCTCATATTTCCGAAAATCCAGGATCTTCGTTCTAATTCTGTGCTTGTAAATCCACGGAGTGCAGGTATACTGTGCATGGCAATTTACATGAAAACCCTGAGCTGTGCAGTCTACCTACAAACAGCTGAACATGTACTACAATGTAGTTGACAGCCTAGAATGTCTTAAATTTTGGTGATTTCCTAGCCTGGACACGATACTTTCTGATGCACAGGTCCCTCAACTACATTGCAGACAATTAACACACCTGCACAACAATGGGGAACTAGAGAGAAAGTTTTTGACAAGGGCCACTATGGAACACGGAAAAAATGGGTGAACTGTTTGTGTCCTTGCCCCTTCCCACCCACTACAATATTTTCCTGGCTAGAACCCTGAACTTGAAATCCTGTTCCCATGAACACATCCAACAGAAAATAGAAAATCCCCACCCATCAACAGTTGCAAGGCTGACTTGTAAACGGTTAACATGTTATTATCTCTGCACATGCCCATAAATTTCAGGTGCGATTATTTAGCATGACTTTGAGCGGCTTACCCAGTATATCCTTGTGGGCGTTGTCAACAAGACGTGTGAAATAGCAAGCCAGAGGATTGAAATTGTACCGGCTAAGTGCATAAGGGCGCACGATGTGACCAGGATTGTGAAAGCTGCCATGGTTCAACTTATCCGCATTCACAAACGCAGAGCGCGTGGCATATATCTCGACGGGCAAGTTGAGCTCATTGGAGTCTTTCCCCTGCAGCAGTTGTATCCAAGCCTCGCTTTTGGTTGGCGCAACCAGCATCAGGTGCATATTTGATAGTTTGAGAAGCATGTTGTCTTTGGCTACAGCGTATGTGTGTTGAAAACATCTAGTGCGGTTCTCAATCAAAAGATGCAGTACTCCATCAGTAGCTGATGGGGCAACTAATCGAAATTCCAACTTGATACTCTTGAACTGGACTTCAGGAATATCACGTCGACTCACTCCAATATGTTGCTTGATCGGAATTCCCCAGAAACCCTTTCGGTCGGCGACGTTTGCAGGCATTAGCCATACCATGATGTTCTCCGCAAATACACCATGGGTGACCGTCACGGGCTGCTTGCTGCCATCGTTTTCTGGTCTTGGTTTCTTATCCTGGCCAATACTTGATCCAGAAGTGTCCACTGTAGCTGCACTGAGATGACAAGTGCTGCTCTCGATCTCCTCGTGCTTCCTTTTGGCAACTTCCTCCATTTCGATGATGCTCACCTCTGGCCGCAATCAGAAGGGTACTTTCGAACACCAGCAGGATATGTCATTCTCAGGACAGTAGATCATGGCAGATCGTGAGAGGTAGAGAAGAAACTCCTTTCAGGTTTGGGTGAACTCATGAGCTTTCTCTCGATCTCTCTTTTGGTGCCGCCAAGGCGCCAGATTTAGGCTGAAAAGCGCGCCAATTTCAGGGGTCGCACTTGTGTACTTAGACATCGCAGCCATTTTTGATTCATCACGCACGCAGCACGTGCGCGTCAGGGTCGTGCAGCCAATCAGAGTTACGGAAAATTCAAAATATCGCAATATTTGGGCGATTTGTAAAGGGTTCCTTGGCAGCCATTTATCTAGCTACGGCGTCGAAAATCGCAGGGCTGCTTTGACGGCCAAGTACGCGGACATCTATCGAAAGAAATTTTGAAATCGGTCAAGTAGAAGGGAAATCCGTGTGTAGAGCTTTTTCTGAGAGTTGTCGCCCTGCTTTCCAGTATTCTGACAGTAAATCTATGTCGTTGAGGAAAAAATTGATTCGGTAGATTTATGGAGGAGATTCTAATAAAGAAAATGAGCCCTCGATCATCGAAATCGGAGAAGAGATGGCTGCCAAGGAACATTTTGAAGACTGCACTGACGGCCCGGCGCGAGTCGCTCGCGCGATCGCGCAGTGTCGGAAAGTACATGACTGTACTTGTGCTGCCTTCGAGTTTATTTGGTGCGCGACTGCGCGGACGGGATCAGAATGATCTGCCTGCTGCAACGCTTTGCCCTGTGTCTTTGTTTTGGAACAATGTTCATGTACATTCATTGCTTTCTTTATTCAACTCGGCGATGCCGCGTTGCTGGACCATGAAGACTCCAAGACCAACTCCAAGCCGACACCGTGCGATTGTGATGTTTGTGTCACAGGTATCATACAAGTGCAGTCCGTGCAGTACGAAAGGTACCGATACGAGTGACATAAAACAAGGAAACCATACCGTCAGTAAGTCCCGATAGGATCGCTTTCCGTAGCAGGTGTACTCGTTGCTGGAATACTCCTTGCGGATCGAAGCAACTTTGCAAACAAAACGTCTTCCTCCTGAGAAATACTCCACTCGCATGATTCCCACGGTCGTTGTTTTGAGTATTGACACGCGAATTCAAAGCGGGAATACTTGCGCGCAAGCCTTAGACTTCCACTTACCAGTAAGTTTGCTGTTGTGACTTACAACTAAATGGAAGTCTATTTTGAAAGGAGAACGGGGAAAGAGAACATCGCCGTGTCAAAACAAGAACGGTATCAGTGAAGAAGAAACTCTGTTCACAGAAATCTGCAGGTCTTGATCATAGGTAGCTAGCTTTGTAGCGCTTGTACAGTTTTGTATGCAAACAATGCATTGAGAACCACACACGTGATCCAAAAGAGCACGCGTCGCGCATGCAGTCAAAAGCAAGATGGCCGCGATGTCGAGAGCTGATCATGATACCAAGTGCGACCCCTAAATTTCCCGCCCTATGGCAAATTCTTGTTTTCTGGCAATATTTTCGAGGTGCGAATCAATTTTTACGCTTCGTAAAAATATTAAACAATAGAAGGACATCGACAGAGGAAGACTTGTACGTCCGCGAAATGTCTTCAAAAAAAGCTTCGAAAAGTCGAGGCTACAGCCTTGAGTTAGGAGCGGTTCAGGGTATAGTTTCCAGAAATCGCAAAGAACCCAAATTTACCTCGGATGACAAGCTGCGCATGACGTAATGTAGGAATTTCGCCGAGCGCTGGGTCTATGCTCGTTGCACACTCTTGGGGGTTATGAACTCTTGCTATCACTGTATAAATTATGTACATGTAGTATCAGGGCCTACTGTACTGCAGTAACTGCACACAACCATCTGACATCATCAGATCATTGGCATTGCGAGGACACAGCTGTCCGTGAAGCCTGAAGGAGTTTATCAATATCGTCCACGGAAGTGTCCTCGCAATGGTGATGGTTGTGTGCAGGAGGGTCTACATTTGTAGTCGGCTAAAGAGCGCAGTGTAATGGTGGAGGTGACTCAACCGATTTTCTTCAATGGCCGAGCTCGCGAGAGCTCTGTCGCACCCTGTAATAATAATAATTATGATTGTGTTCATTATTTTCATATTAATCGAAGCAATGATTTTAATTTTTTCTTTTTTTAGAAGTACATGTAGTACGTAGATCTACATGACTATAATGATAATGGCCTTATTACAGTTTGCTGTCACAATGAAGATGGGGTTTCCCTCTTCTGACCAAGATTGTAGGCATGTGGTACACCTTTTACATCATCAAGTCGCTTACTGACGGATCGCATTTTTTAAAATGGAGTGATTTCTGTAATTTTAGAGCCTAGCCTAGTCGAGCCAAACTTGAGCATCTCCGGGCCCTTTGCCAGTATGATAGGAACCGGCTGTTAGAATTACCCATGAAATTCCCCGGCTTTCCGGCCGGGCAGTCTAGCTGATGCTTTCTTCCAGGAACTGGCATATTCGTGGCTCTAGCTTCAGTATCACACCGGACAGCTCTAACGTTACGTCACGTTGGCCAGTCTTCAGATCACGGTGTACTAGCTATTCAGTGTGTTCTTCACGGTATTGTGTCATGCCGTCCACACAAATTCACAATGCTCATCATATGAGTCCTTGCATGCCAGAGTAAATTTCAAGGAGTGGCTCAAGTCAACAATCGCTCACAGGATGTTAGACTGTGACCCTTTGTGAAGCTGATTCATGCTAACTAGTTAAGTTCATGGATTTACTTTGAAATACTTCAGAAGTAAATTTTATTCATCATTCCCGAGTACCATTTCGTCTAGCTGCCAATATGATCGATACATTGGTGATGAAATGATTATTCACGGTTATGATGGACATTTGACATTTGCCTATGGCAAATCCCATCACACACTTTTCATGTCAAAAAAAGTTGAGCGCAAAGCATTTCAAGTTGTCTTCCCCTGCTGCTTACTTCTTCTTAGCCAGGTGAAATCTACTTGAGTCAAAAGTCACGCTTTCAAAAAAAACCTTCCTGTCAAACATTCTGTGCGTTAGTCCTTGGCGGATAATGCTCGAAAAGCAGTGAAATTGGCAGAACCATACAAACCTTATGGCGGGCAATTCCTCGAATTCTGCTCCATTTCTTTATCCATGTACCAAACAGCCATGAAACTTACCAAAAAAAGCGGTACCGAATTCTGCCAATTTTTCTGCCGGCATTATCCGCCAAGGCCTACTGTGCGTCCCTCGAGGCACTGGTTGTGGGCATACTTTGCGCCAACTTCGAACCATCCCCCCCCCCCCCCAAGGCAGGGTCTGCCCTGAGACGGCCTTTTAGGTTGGAATATCACGCGGCCTGGAAGTAAGCCAGCTTACTAGTAGCCTCTAAGCAAACCGGAAACTCTGCGGACTAGGAAATACCCTTCTAGTAATGTAGAACTGAACTGAATTTCAATATTTGTTCATCTGGAACGTTGTCAGTATATCTATGGCAAATATGAATATGGACATGAATGTGCTAATACTTCATGACTAGGGTGACTTTACATAGACATCCTACACTTAGTCTACTACATTATGCCTAGGTTGCACATCAAGTAGAAGGTAGTATGAAATATGTGTACATGAATAAAGTTGTTTTCACTCGAAGGACAACAGAAAAAGCACCGACATTACCTGCACACGCATCGGCACAGGTTGTACTAGGCGCTCGAATTCAAGGGCGGATCATTACACTCGCCTCAAGCCTCTACAGCGGCGATGTCCGCGGGACTGGAGGTGACGTTATCGATTATCTTGGCAGGCAGCTCTGCTGTGGTCTCCTGGGTCTCCTCTCCAGCCTCCTGGTTCTCAGTTGGGTTGGCTTCGTTTTCCAGGATAGGTTTCGTCTCCGCTTCCACTAGGTTCTCATTATCTTTGTTGGCAAACTCTTCGGTCTCTTTGTTGATTTCTTCCGTGTCCTTGTTGTTGAACTCCTCTGTTTCCTTATCGGTTTCTTTGTTCTCCAACTCTTCGGTGTCAGTGTTTGCACGTTCCTCCTGGCATTCCTTCGGAGTTTCTACCGCCTCGGGAGCCGCCTCCTTCAATACCTCGGGTTTGTTTTCCTCTTCCACTGGACATTCCTCTTCATTTTCGGTAGCAGTGTTGACATTGGTCTCTTCCATTGCATCCTTTGTTGTAGTCTCGCTTTCTTCGAATCGTATCTTCTTAGCAGCCGGGACATCTACCTCCTGCTCAGTTTGAGCTTCCTCTTCCGGGTGTGCTCGCTTAGCCACCTGGGGTGACTCTCCACCGGTAGAGGAACGAGTTCTTGTAGCAACCATTGCTGTTATGCCCCGGAGTACTTTGCGTAAAGAAGGGAGAAAACTCATACACAAGCCGTCTCAGCTGGCAGCAGAAGGAAAGTGTTGCACAAATCAACGTTCAATGCCAAGATAAGTGATTTCTGTTGGATCATGAGTCTAATACCTCCACAAAACAGCCACAATACCTCTTCTCGATGCAGCTGACTCCCGCTCATTGGTTGATTGAACACAGGTCGCTACACTGGATCCGGAGACCAGGCCAGGACGTGGACTTTGACCTTTGACCTTCGAAAGCAAAGCTTTCTAATTCTGCAGATTCCTGGCGACTTGATGAGACTTCGTTGATAGTGTATTCGTGATACCAAGAGTAGACTCTTGGTATCACTGGTGAGTAGAGTCGTCGTCTATGTCTGCGATCACGCGGGCGCGTGTTGTGTGCGTCGCTGACATTGACACTTGACAGACTGAGGAAGCCATACCGACACCTTACCATGTACCAGCGGCACTGGTCCGCGGTCTCATAATCAGTCAAACGAGATCAAATCAACGAGGGCTGATCTGCAGCGTTACACTTATAAAACCACGCCAGGGGCGAAGATCATCAGTAAGCAGCATGATCATGGAGATCAAATCAACGAGGGCTGATCTGCAGCGTTACACTGGTTATAAAACCTCGCCAGGGGCGAAGATAAGCAGCATGATGCGCGATGATACATTAGTTACTTATTGGGACCGGGTTTATTCACAAAGCCGTGAAACCAAAGAAACCGTTACCCAAATGGCCTACTGGCATATGCAAAGGCGAAGGCACGCCTCTTCCCGAACCAACACAGCCGGCGGCAATGGCCTTTGGGTAATCCCGGGCCTGAAATAAAGATTATAATGTGCTGACAGTGACACTTGAAAGGGCTCCTGACCCCGCGGTGGATGTACGAAGACCTGCAGCCCTTGTGGCTTGAAGCATTGACTGCCAATCTAATCGCAGCAGGCAATAATATGGTTGTTTCCTTGCCCGCCATACTCAAGCCGAAAACACCACTGTCGCCAGTGGGGTGAATGATGCTCTCTCGATCTCCGCACAGATGGCGATTGGATTTCCGGACGAGACAAGGATGGCCGGCCAGGGAGTTGTGGATGCCGGTGGTCACCACAAATCGAAATGCAATATAATTATATTGGCTGCTGCACCCGGAAGCCGACGACGTCGACTGCGACGTGGCTACGCTTGAAAGTGCTACGTCACTCCATAGCAATGGCATAGCAACAATTTGAAAAATTCGAAAACTGGATCCACCTGGATCCAGTTTTTGTATGGATCCAAGCACATTTCAAGCGGTCTCACTCACAGCAAGGTGATGTTGCCAGTGAAACTGACTGATTTGGCTAGTGGGGGCGGGGTGACAACTGGTGGCGAAGTAAAAGTTGCACCTGCATACGACATGAGTGGGTTGCTATGCACCCACATACTGAGGCAATAGCAAAGTCACACCTTAGTGGATCCAAAATAGAAATCTGATGTCAATTTACTACTCCCAGGCCGTTTTTGACGTCATCACTTTCAAGCCCTTATGGTCAGTGTGGTATTTTACGACTCCCTAGCCCTGGTACATGGTTTTTTTTTTTTTTTTTTTTTTCCCTGGTACATGGTGGACGGCGACGGGCGACGAGCCAGCTTGTGTATCGTGTCTGGGTCTGCAGATCTGGGATGATCCGGGCACTGAGATCAGACTGCACTGACCTTTCTCAATGATGTCATCACACAACCATCAAAACATTAAATTTAAAAAAAAAAATTCATTTCCACTTTCAAATTTTCGTGTTGATCCGATGTCATTGCACTGTGTGGTTGCTTCAAGTAATTACAACTTGTAGTTCAACTAATTACTTACTACTTCAAGTTCAAGTGAAGTTTGCAAGACAGTATACTGCAATACTTGCTGAACTATACCGGTACCCCAGTAATGATCACCAATACTAAAATGTGATCGCCTGGGGAAAGCATCTATGACACTGGCTTTGAAGCTATTATGTCTTTCCTGAACGTTCCCAAGGCTGGATTTCCAGCTTCAGGATCACCTCAAAAGCTCGGTCAGGGAAGTCTGAGCAAAAAGGTACAGTTGGACAAAGGTTACAGTCTGCATGACTGGATTGTTTTGCATAACGATCGCAGCAAGGACTTGACATCGGTGGGCGGTGGATTCAAGAGAGTGTCGGTGGCAGAATTGCAACAGCACAATCAAATTGAAAATGCTTGGACTGCAATACGAGGTGCGTTTACCAACTATCTGCAGATCTTGTATGCACATTCTTTGATTTCATAGTTGCCATTATCATGCCATGCAGAAGACCATCGTACAGTGGAGCATGGCACCATATCCTAACTTTGGCGTGGAACCCCTTGCGTCTTGGCTTATCCCAAGAGGTTGTCTGTTAGCCAAAGACTTCACTAACCCCAAGAATATGTACTGTATTTCCGGTGTATAAGCCGCACCCAGATTTTTTGTCACGAAATATGTGTACAGACATCTGGCCTGTACTTCACGGTTCTTTGAACCATCGTAGTGTAAGCCGACTTTGTAAGCCGACTTTTTTTGGGTGAATTACGAATGTTTAAAGTGCGGCTTATACTCCGGAAAATACGGTGACTGTACACATGAGGGCTGGTGTGGTGCGCTGCCTACATTGCGTAGGCACAAACTGGGGAGTCAGTTGGGCTGTTGCGGCATGATTTGCTACAGTTTCCAGCTTACAAGTACGGTTATCTTGGAGACTTCAGAAGATTTGGTGTGCGATGCTTGATGCCTGGCCTTTGCATCTGCCGTATAGGCTTATTCAATGGCGAAGGAAGATGTTTTGGTTGGGGGTGGGGATTTCCAGGCACTAAACTGCTTCTATACCTGTCCGCGGTAGCCATTATACACACCAACGATTCCAAACAATGAATGGGTTACTGGTGCTTGTTACTGATATTCCTTCTGACAGATGTTTCAACTACCAAAGCCTCGTCAGAGAAGGTGATACTGAATAGGATATTCTAATGGACATGGCACCCCTTCGTTGTTTGTAATTTTGGTGTGTGTAATGGCTACCGAGGGTAGCAACTTGTCGGCTGAGAGCGCATGGAGGAGAGGAGGAGAGATTGTTGCATTAGTTCACAAAGATAATTAGAATTCAGGGGCGTCACAGGGTGGCTGGGAGTGGTACGACCGGGGGTCCGGGGGTGTCCCCCGGAGAAAAAAATAAGGATTTTTCGGCTAACAGACCACGTTTTAGCACTCTACAGCCGCAAAGGAGGGTTCCCCTAGCACTTATTCGACAACCCCACTCCAGCTCCAAAAACATACTTCTCATGGATTTTTGGTATTTTCTGTACATCGTAGGTAGCCAAGCAAGGCAAATGGAACCCATTGATTCAATGATTCAGGGCCATTGCCCTCGAAAAAATCGCAAAATCCGAAGTACCAGCGTGCTGAGCGTTCTAGCGCCAGCGGCTAGCTATGCAAAAACGTACATGTATGTCGTGTCCTGCAAAAGTCTGCCGCGTCGCGTACACTATGTACACGCCCGGCCTGGACAGTCGCAAACAATTTTAGTTGTTTTTAGAGAGAGAAGAAGATCCTTTGTTTTTGTTCGGTGGGATTGAAAGATCTGCCAGTGGACCGGAGAGCTACAACAATGGAAGCAGAAGAAAGCGCTTGCGGAATCTTCTCTGTCTTCGTGGCAACAGGACTTTAGTTTGCGAGAGACTTTCATCCTGTCGTCGCGGACGAAATTCTTGTTGCTGCTACCGGAAAACTCGCGGGGAACGAAACGATCGTAAATCGTTATAATATAGGTGAAGCGGGTCGTGTCGGTGAACAGCTGCAGAATATTCTGCCGCCGTGGAGCAGCAGTCCAAACACTTTTCAGCTTCGGAGAATGAAGCGCTTCCCTTTTCCGTTGACAAGCGCTGCGTTCGCGGGTGTAATGCATTTTCGAATCCGCTTGCAGTAGATCGTCAGGAGCCAGAGGTACTAGGTAGGTGTCGTTGTGGAAAGAATATAATTATTATGTTGTAGCTGACAAGTGACATACATGTAGTGTCTCTTGACGTGCTGATCGCCATTGTAACATGGTAGATCTTGGAAATTTTTAGTTCTGGACCCAGTGATTGCCGCCAGCTCAGCTCTGTTTCCGTCAAGTTTGCAGTGAATGCGTCCGTGAGGAATCCATCGTCTGGTTGTCTCTAACCGTGACTCCAACCGCCTATCGTAATGGATAGCCGCCTGGAGTCTTGGGCAATAGCTAGCTGCTAGTGCTAGGCATCAAGTCTGTATGCTCCTTGCAATGAAAGTAACCAGGTAACAGTTGCGATGTTTTGTACAAGTCCGAAGATCCTTGAATTTTTTTATTGCTTTTTCGGATGAATTGGGTGGACCATCCTGGACGAAAAGTGGTACGACCATGGTCGTAGTGGTCGTACCGTGTGTGACGCCCCTGGCAATTATTTTCCAGAAATCCGATGTTTGAATTATCAGGACTCCACCTGTAGTAAAAGAATTACACAATTCAATGGGACGTACCGTATTATCTCTAATATAAGCACGGTCCTTTATTTTTTCAATGTACCTCCGCCCCGTGCTATTAATGGAGACGTTCCTTTATTGGAGACTGTTCCATTATTATTTCAACCTCATTTCAGAGGCATGTTGCCATGCCAAATTCATGTATGACACACACATTTCAGGGTTTTTTTCGCCGGTACAGATAATGAATTTACACAGTGTGCTTATAATGGAGACTGAGCACTTTATTTTTTGAATGCCGCCTCAAGGTGTTCTATTATTGGAGACGTGCTTTTATTGGAGACTGTGCTTATATTAGAGATAATACGGTATGCATAAATTTTCCGCCATTAGGTTTTGCGGGGCAAGTCCACTACAACCATACACACTGTGATACCGGCTTTGCATAAAAGGTCATGCACTTTGTGAGGTCATACTCATAAATGTACTATAACGGGTTGTACCTGCCAAGTATGGGGTAACGTGCCCCGCAAAAAGGTGACGACCATCTTAGATGCATACCTCCCATTCTGTGAAAGTAGGCATTTTAGTTGATCAGGATATTTGCCGAAGTCGCTACAACCTCTTCTTCGATCAGAATATTTAGTTGAATATTTAGTTTATAGCTAGACGGCTGAAGAGCGCATGGAGGAGTAGAGGAATGTTGAATATTTAGTTGGAGCAATTTTGGTTGTTAGCTAGGAGTTTATTCTATCCATAGCTTTATTCAAGTTTTATTTGAAGGAGTTTCCAAAAGGGAATTGATTCTTATCTCCAGTGTAACCATGTGCTTGAACTATGCATTCGTGTTGTGCTACCAGGCAAAGTGTATAATCTTGCACCGTACATGCGCTACCATCCAGGAGGTGCTGATGAGCTCATGAGAGCGGCTGGCCGAGATGGAACTCAGCTGTTTGACCAGGTGATATGATGGATGTGTCCAGTATGTTCATAACAAACAATACGTGTTACGGTGTTCTATGGTGTGCAAGTACACGTGCCGTATTTTCCGGAGTATCTCTTAATTTGCTGGCAAAAAAGCCTATATGTAGGAATTGAAAATGTGTGACCTTTATGCCGTTGTTATTGGTCATCATGAGTCATTCATGACCCATAATAACGGTATAATGGTTTTCATAGAAGCTGTAAATATGTTCGAGGCATGAACGTTTACTTTTTAGATTCATAGGACATCATGAATACCCATTTTCATCAAGAATTGGAACTTTGAGCAGCATTGTTAAGTTGGTGTCATGGAAACGACTGAAGTAGTGGATGTGCAGAAGAACATTACAGGTGTGGCAAAGGGTGGTTTCATGATGACATATCGCACATGCAGTCGCGAAACTACCAATTTTAAGGATAGAACAAGGTCCAGTGAAATCTCAAATCCTATATAATATAGGATTCGAAAAATAGGGCACAGGCCTTAGTAACATTGCGCAAGGAGGTGAGCCTTAGATGTCAGTATTTGAAAAAAATATCTTATTCAACTCTCCATTTCTACTAAGATCTAACACGGAAGAATTGGTCACATACATTTCCCTACGCTCGTGCCACACCCATTTTGAGTTGAAAAATATGACCAAAATCCTATATATAGGATCTAGCCAATTAAGAGATAAGCCCCACTGGAGTATAAGCCGCACCCAGATGTTTTGTCATGAAATACAGACATCTACCCTGTTTATCACTGTTAATTTGACCATCGTAGTATAATATAAGCTGCACCGACTTTTTTTGGGTGTTAAAGTGCGGCTTATACTCCGGAAAATTCGGTTTTGTATGTGGCTACATTCGAGTTTGCAGCTTCTTAGAAAATGTAGGGGTCTTTAGCTTTATGTTTTGATCGCTGATGGAAGTGTTTGGGGCTTGGACTATGCGTGCTGTAGAGAATGTTTAAGTGATGCTGTCGTTTGTTGTATTTAGAAAGAAACACTGTGTCTGCCTGTGTAGCTGTGCACATATCAATTCAACTGATGTTATTTGATTGGGCTTATGTGTAGTGGGATGGTCAATGACCATGACTGAGAAACAGAGGGGTAGCAAATGGGATTTTTGGTCTTTGACCGCTTGTTTATCAGTCTGATCTACTCACCTCCCACCGCTTTAGGAGCTGCACCTGCGCCTAGATCCTTGACGGTGGCAGCATTCCAGTGAATGTGGAAAACTCAGTCTGACTGAGTCTCACGCGAGTCGTGAACTTAGTTTTTTGGTTGTGTGTCTGAACGCTTTTGTGTGTTTGAACTTGTGTCTGTCACCAGTACCACGCGTGGGTGAACATTGAAACTATGATGGAGCGGTGTGTTGTTGGCTTTCTCGTCGGTGACGATCTGAGTGCTATCCGTGAGCGCCGGAAAGCACAGAGCAAGCCGGCCGATCCTCAGTCAGGTAAGCCAACTGCTCCGTGATACGTGCTCACTGTTTCCTGTCTCACTTCTATGCACATTATTACTGTGCACTATAGACCCTTATCCAGGCACATTGCCATTGGTACCGGAGGGTGCCCGTGTCTGGAAAAGCCTGGAACTCAGAAACACACAATAAAAGTGTACATGTTACATGCCATGATTCTCTTCAGCTTGAGTATGAGGGTGTGTGTGTGTGTGTGTGTGTGTTGGGGGGGGGGGGGGGGGGGGGAGTGCTCTCGAATAGGAGTTCATCAATGGCCAGCATTGCCTTGCGCTTGAGGATTTGTTGTTCTCCGACCTTTGAGCGGAGCCTGCATTTTTAGGATGTGCTTTCTTGCTGAAATGAACTGTTGATGGCATCCCTAGGGCTGTACTTCTACACAGAACCATTGCCTCATTGTTTTCATACAGTATCTTAATAAGTATGTTATATGCACGCCTGCGTGTTCATTGTGTGCATTGTGTTTCATTGCGCATGCCTGTGGGCCTGTTTCTTTGTGCACGGTTGCAGGAGCAGCAATCGATCCTGCTATTGGTCAAGGCCAAAAACCCAGGTAAAGCGGAGCTTTAAACTGTTGGAGAACAAAGTTGTGAATTGCTTGCCAGTTATATGCTGTGTGTCCGATTTCAGTATGGTGTTATCACTCTTTTGACATTCGGCAGCTGTGCATACACTGCACATGCGAACTGAGACCTCTATTGCATCTTGCAGCAAGTACAGTCATGATGATGATGATGAAATCCATACCTTTATTAATATTATTGCATGCCTACATGTGTCATGTGTTTGCAGGTTTGACTGGTATCAATCTGCGCAGGTTGTCAACATTGTATTCATGAGTCAGGTAAGCCAAGGTACAGGCATTGCTTCCTGCAGTTACATAAATTTATGATAATGAACTGACCACTGCTTATTAGTAGTGCTGCAGAGCTCTGTTGCCTGCTTGTGTAGTATTATGGCATGTGCTACGCTGGCAAACTGGCAGCAAACTCTCGCTACTTTGCTGCGGCACGGAGTTGACGCACTAACTCCTGCTCCGCAATATCACTGGAGCTTTTATTAGGCAAGCTGTGGTCGTTTCAGTAATGACACTCCGAAAACGGTCGGCACCACAATCCTTCGTTTTTGGCAAGGCTCTGGCCTTCGCCCCAATCCTTATTTCCTCTATGTCATCTTCCATCACTACCTCACCTACGAACAAAAGTACTGCAAAAAGTGAAACAAACTGTCCTATCCACCTCACAAAAATAAATAAACCACTGCCTCTGGAAAGGAAGTATCGAAGTAGACGCAACACAAGAAGGAAAACCCCATGGTGGCTGGTCGTGCTGATAACAGTCAAAGAGTCGTAATATCTGGATCGTGATTTGGTGATCGCTCACAGGGAAAATCACGTATTTATGACTGGTCGTCAGGGGAAAACCAGTCTGTGACACTTCTGTTGCTTGAGTTTGATTGTCTCATTGGAAGCACATTCGTTCGCATCCAACTTTGCACAGCAGCGCCTCCCATGCTTTTCTTTGTTTGTGCTGGCAGTACGACCTCCATGAAGACAACATCATTGCATCGCTAGATTCGTCTGGTTCTTTGCTGGAGGTTGTGGCTGTTCTAGGTCCTGCAAGCAGCTATGTCTTCAAGATCCGTGAGTATGCTGTATTTGTTTTGCTTCTACTGCTGCTGCAGCTTTCATAGGGTTGTGATGAAGAATACTTGTAGTGCTACACTTGTCGTGATTACATCACGAAGTCGTACACAATATCACGTGTAGGTTTGTGTGACGTTATCATCCACGTAGCATTAGCCCATTTGTTTTGTTTTGATTGTTTGTTTTTTACCTGGCTTCTTGATGATCAGAGATTAGAGGAAGTCATGTAGTAATGAATCAGAATTAATCCCAGTCCTATGAAGTTATGTTGTGGAACTTGAAGAGAGTCTAGTCGCAACAACACTAGCTGGAATGTGGACCTGGAGCGGGTTACTGCCAGGGTATTATTACAGTGGCTGGAGAGCGGCAAGTCTTTAGATAGATGCCAATGTCGCCCAGCGAGTGCTCATGTAGCGCTAGTGCTGTCGTCGTACGAACCGGGAAATAGCACTGCATGTGTGGCCATGCAGGATCGGGCCACGGACATGTTGAAAAGCATTGCAGTGCCATTGTCGCTCATCACGCAAACTACAGCAAACAGTAATTGCACTTTCAACCTACGGTGTAATTGCAATGCTTAAAAGCATTGTATTGACACCGAAGATCCTGCATACACAGGAATTACCTGCACCCTGAGATAAGGAACTGAATTTTTCTAGTAAAAGATCACAAATGACTGGAATATATCCATGTTGTGACACAATACTAGGACGTCTATTGAAGTGAATAGTATTCCAGAAAGTGCTGCTCTTCTTGCCCTATATGCTTTACATGTCTCCTTTACTTACTTGCTTACTCTCTCTCTCTCTCTCTCTCTCTCTCTCTCTCTCTCTCTCTCTCTCTCTCTCTCTCTCTCTCTCTCTCTCTCTCTCTCTCTCTCTCTCTCTCTCTCTCTCTCTCTCTCTCTCTCTCTCTCTCTCTCTCTCTCACTCTCTCTCTCTCTCTCTCTCTCTCTCTCTCTCTCACACACCTCTCTCTCTCTCTCTCTCTCTCTCTCTCTCTCTCTCTCTCTCTCTCTCTCTCTCTCTCTCTCTCTCTCTCTCTCTCTCTCTCTCTCTCTCTCGCCTGTCTTCCCCTCTCTCTGTGTATTATAGGTCTGCATGACAAGGTGATTGCAAGTCAGGGCATGAAGGGTATGTATTACAAATATCTTCTATGCATTCTGGCTGTGTACTGTGTCAAACGTGATGTCTCAGAGAAACTTTCTATTGTCTGTGTGTCGTTCTACTCAAGATATACTTCAGAAGTATGCACAACATTACCAATAACTACAGTAACTGTTCATTGTCCTTGAGTTTGCTTTTCAAAGTACACTGTACTTGCAATATTCACCTATGATTACACCTAAACTTTGATAGTGCAGTCTGCACCAGGGCCATGTGCTCACCACTTCAGGCTCCTGTTGGCGCTGTGCAGTACTGTGTCTAGGGTATATTCCCTTCTCAGCTGACTGATTGTTCTCTCTTGCTTCTACACCTGCCTGTATGGGTGTGTGTATGTGCCTGTATGTCTGTCCATCCGTCCGTCTGTGTTTGCCTGTCTGTGTTCACTCATGCGCATGTGTACATGTACATGGGCTGCGCCTACTTGTGTAATGCAGTCCTTGTAAAGAATGGTAAAGCACAGATCACAATGGTGAAAGCACAGGAGGCACGCTGGCCCAAGTATGGAGAACTGCTCCCTGGAAATGGTGTCGTTACAAGTCGAGGTGAGAAGACGTCTCCTTATCCTGAAGCCGATCCCTATTGTACTAAATATAATCATCACTGATTCATTGTACATACTGATACATGCACCTTGTCTCAATGCTCTCTCTTGAACACCATCATACAATGTAAGTATTCTGGTATGTGGCACTGCATTGAAAATCTCTAAGATATTCACTGACACCTCACTGCACGAGTAGTTGTGTACATGGCTGTATAGTACAGAAATACGTGAACTTGGCTGTGTTTGATGTTTGCTGGCAATGGGCATTTACTTGCATACTATTCTAAGGCGTCTAACACTATACTGCCGCCGCTGATGCTGTTATTCTTTGTTCTTGTTTGTCTTAGAGGTCAAGTTTCATGAATGTAGCATAGTAGCAGTTCAGAAGATTACACATGACACGAACATTTACCGGGTCAGGCTTCCAAGCGCCGTTCACTTCAAAGTGCCAGTTGGCCACCATGTTATTGTCAAAGTCAATGTTGAAGGTAGGTATTGTATCGGGTGGATGTTTGTTAATGGGAGCAACTGTTTATAACACAAACACTTTCCACCTCAACACACGCGAGTCATTGAATTCAAAACTTACCATAAGTGACCGGTTTCACTGCATAGAGGGCCAAAAAGGATATGGATGTACTGTAAATCAACAAAATCTAATGTTGGCTGCTGAGAAACTTTGGCCCGTCTTAAAATATAACTTTTGGCCTTCGTCATGCTTTGGCTGTTCGGTGTTTTCCGGAAAGAAATCGATAACTTTTGTTCTCACGTGCAGATATGGCCCAACCGTCCTTTATTTACATCCTGTGACACATTTTGGAAGGTGGTTTACTCAACAAACAAACCCTTACTTTCCTTTAGGTATGGATGTGTGTATACTGGTGCTCTTCAGGTATGGATGTGTGTATACTGGTGCTGTTCAGGTATGGATCTTACCAATCCCTATACGGTTGTACAGTCGCTCGTTCCCTCTTCCCCCAGCGGTGCTGATGGGTGTGCAGTGGATATCCTGCTGATGGTGAAGATCTACCCGAAAGGCGTTGTAACACCGCACATTGGCAAATTATCAGCTGGTGAGTATTGCAGTAGAATGTGTGCTTTTTGCATCCTGGCTTGGTGCTGGATGAAGGAAAGGATGTGTAGTCTTGTGTTATGTAGTGCATACTGGATAAACTTGCTGTGTCTCTTATTCTTCAACACCTACAACATCTTGCATGTGACTGACCCGTCTTCTCAAGCAGAATTGCAATTGTTACTACATGTACTTCAAAAGTATATTGAATTTGCCGCTACTGTTTATTCTCTAGTACTCGTTTTTCCAGGCTACAGCTCCTGCGTGGTTCACTGATGAAATGATTGCTGCTCTGGGTACTACACACAGCTATGCATGATCATTGTAGTATGGTTGTTACAGAAACAGCTGAATTGGCAGCTGCAATAAACTGCCCGTTGTAGTAGTTGTGCCGCTACACGGGCCCTGCGTGATGGTTGCATTTTGCTGCCGCATACTACATGTAGTATTCATTTGTGTTGCACCTGGTGTATTGTTCCATGTGCTCACTTGCCTGCTTGCCTGTGTGTCTTCATGTGCATTCCACCCAATGATCAGGTGACACTCTTCGTGTCAGTGACCCGCAAGGTAGTTTTGACACGGCGAGCCTCGAAAACACGGAACACGTTGCACTCATCGCTATGGGAACTGGTGAGCGTTATGGATTAGTTGATGATTTTGAACACGTGGATGAAAGTCGAACTCAGTGACGAAATTTGCATTTTGGGGAGGATTAGCAACCAGAATTTGCACTTCCATGACGTTCACAGGTCACCATGCCTGCTTTGATATTCACATGTATTCAAAGACCTAAATGAGTTGCTCTCTCTCTTGCTCTCTCGCTCTCTCTCTCTCTCCTCTCTCTCTCTCTCTCTCTCTCTCTCTCTCTTTCTCTCTCTCCTCTCGCCTCTCCTCTCTCTCTCTCTCTCTCTCTCTCTCTCTCTCTCTCTCTCTCTCTCTCTCTCTCTCTCTCGCTCTCTCGCTCTCTCGCTCTCTCGCTCTCTCGCTCTCTCCTCTCGCTCTCTATCTATCTCTCTCTCTCTCTCTCTCTCTCTCTCTCTCTCTCTCTCTCTCTCTTTGCAGTGTATTCTATTACCTATTCTTGTTCTGTGTTGTGTTGTGTGCGATGCACTGGTATTTGTTTGTGGCTACATGTGTCTGTGTAAATAGTACTAAATACACGCATGGTTTCTTTGTCTGTCCTTTGCTCAGGCATCACACCAATGACTTCGGTAATATCGCATGTTCTCTCGTCATCCACCGAGAGGTATGAAAGACATGCATCAAGTACTGCTACACAATAGTGTATACTAGTATGTATGCGTTCAAAACTTCAAACATCAAGCAATTGGCACGTTCCCGTCCTCATCAGTGCTGTCATTCACCTTTCTATGGGTTTGGTGTGCTCACTGGAGTTGGTGTCGGGAGACCATCAGGCCATGTGGTCAGACCCCACCAGTGCCCATCCCCCATCCACGGTCCACAGTCCACATCACAATCCTGTATCTACATATTCTTGAGTGGCATCAGTAGTAATCCTCACCCCACCAGACAATGTGACCCACATGACCTACATTATACTCAAGGCCCTTTATTTGCTGAAGTAGTATGGACTTTGTAGTTACTCCTGTAATGGCTAATGCCCCGTTGTTCTCCTCTGCTCGGTGGCGTTGTCTTTCAGGAAAGTCCACTTGCTTTTCAGTAACAAAACCGAGTCAGATATCATGTGGCGGGAAGAATTGGACCAAGCTGTTTGCACCTCTTCAGGAAGGTACTGTCAGTTTAATACCGAAGAATTGTATGATTGTGTCGTTAACGTTTTGCTTGTTTCGTTTTTGTTATGTAGTGTTGTCTAGACAGTCTACACCACAATTATGTTGCTTGCTCTGCATTCTCTGTACACGTGTCATGTTATTTGCAAGACAATAACTGCAGACAACCGTATTATTACTGGCCATTCATTATCTGATATCAGTGTCATTTCCTTTGTGTATTCGTGCGCCTGGAAACGTTGTGCAGACTGTCCGTTCAACATACTCTTTCTGAGCCAGGTGACTCCTGGACTGGCGACAAGGGAAGATTATGTTTGATGAAGGTCCAGCAATTCCTAGACCCAATTGTGAACAAGGAGAAGTTATTAGTATGTGTATGTGGCTCGCCAAGCTTCAACGTTTCTGTTAAAAGGTGAGTGATTGGTCTGTACGTGCCTTCCTGAAAGGGAAAGGACCACGGTTGTATCACAGTGTAATCCTGCGATGTCGTACTGCACTGCAGAACCAGTTGCAAGTTTACGATAGCTCACGCCTTCTGACCTTTGGTCGTGTGCGAGGTTCGGGTACAGTTCTGTGTTTGCGGTTACTTTTCGACGCTTGTTGCTTCCATCAATTTAATTGGGATCTGGAATCAGAGCACTTACTGCCACTATCCACCGTTGTAAATAGGCAAATGTGGTTCGAGCTTGTGAGGCGATAAAGCATTGACATTCTTGCGTTTTATGGGCGCCGATAAAGCCTAGTTCACATTCCACGGAACGCTGACGGTACGGGACGTAAGGGCCTGTCGGGAAGGCTGGGGTGAGCTGTAAAATCTTGTACGATTCGCACGACACGACTTGCTGCAGTCGTTGCGTCGTTCAACAGCGAACGGCGCCAGTCATTAGGCACGTTCCGTGACAGGGTGACTTTTGGACCTAATTTCTTGTTTTCCAGGACTTCTTTTTCAAATATTTCTCCTTGAATGAAACGGAAACAAGTTCACAATACCAGTTTTTCATGAACACCAAAAAAGTAGCTTCGAAAGGTGTGCCATTCAAATAGTAGCTCCAGGAAATGAAACAGTTTGTCTGTCACGGTCCTGAACTATCCCTAAATACCATAAGTGACATCAGACCTTATCTTGCTAAAATTCAACTCAAGTCGTGTTAGCCATTCTGCGAGTTATCATGGAAGCGCAGTGTTAGAAATGCTAAAAATTTCCAAGTACGAATCGGGAGTAGTCGGCGCACGACGCCGTCTCCTGTTCACACTCAAAATGTAGCTGTTTTGTACGCTTGCGTCCCCGTCTATGCCCGTCTACGGTATGAAAAGTTGGATCGATCCAACTCTTCCCGTCACTTCCCGATCCGTACGACAGTACGGTTGCGTTCCCGTTCCTGGTGTTCACATTGGACGCCGTCAGACTCTCCCGTCGCGCCCCGTCGAATGTGAACTAGGCTTTTAAAGGTCCACATCCTCGTCTTTCCCCTAGTACGCTCTGTGAGCCCTTACCTACGAAAACTGTGGACTTCGCAAGGAAAGGGTATTCTTTTCCGAGAGAAACTGTTGTGTTGCCGGGGGGAAATACTTATCATGTGAATGTCGACAACAGAACTAAACTTTATTTTCTCCAGCATTTCCAGTGTGCCATGCACCCATGGATGTGGGTGGGCTGAGATTCATACGTTTTGCGTATACCGAGATCCATACTAGTGTCTGCATGTCGTTCAGCATCGACACTGTACAAGTACAATGTGATGTGTGTGTGTGTTCATGTGTGTGTGCATGCGTGTGTGTGTGTGTGTGTGTGTGCACGCGCGTGTGTGTGTGTGCGTGTGCAGGTGGCTAGCGGAACTTGGCTTCACCGCTGGTCAGTATCACATATTCTCCTGATGTGCAGCTTCGATGTATACTTGTATACTCTTGAACATTTTCACTTGATCTGTGGAGCTATGCTGCTGAATTTTTCTTAGATGTTTACAAATTCTAGTTTTGACAGCACTTTAAAAAAAATATTCTAGTTGCTGACCATGTCTCTGCCGAGCTATGTGGAGCATTCAGATAGAAACCTTTCTTGCCTCTGGTTTAGGCGCCCTGTTAGCCCATGCAACTATCAGCACAGCATTGCAGCTGTGCTGGTACACTTCAAGAAGTACACAAGTAAGAGATGCAGGTAACATCTCCCTTTTGAGCTTTTAAGTTATACCCAATGCACCCTGGCCTGAGACAATTCTCATTTTTGGATTACTTCAGCTTCCCATCACGTGCATGTCCTCCTTCATACATCATGTCCTGTCTTGCAGCTGCAGTATCCTCGTTGCTCATTTTGATTCGCAGTATTCTCATTGCTAATTGTGATTTCCCACCTCCATTTCTTTGGACATGGAACCACATGCGTCCACCCCGAAAGTTGCAAGTGCTGTCATTGTCAACCCTGTCGTACAAGTACATGTACTGGTATCTCACTTTCTTCAATGTACAGAAAAGTACATGTTGTTGGCATAGCTGACAAGATGTGTTTCAAATTACTTTACGGAATGTCAATGGAAGTCTTCATTAGGACTGGCTGCATGCTGTAGTTCAAGGCGTGTTTTCTTCACTCTCATCGCTGGTGTGGGACAGGGATGATTGGAGATCAAATGATAAGTCAGATAAAGTGGACATGTTCAATGATGCAGCCAGATCATATGGGCGGCTTGGAGCCCTGGTGTTGATATGTGTAGTGGATCTTGGCAGCTGAGTGAGCTGACCCTGGGAACCATGCATCAAGGTGCGTTGCATGAGCAGGAATGTTTGCCGTTGAGAACTTGACGCCCTGCTGGTGTCCTCCTGCGTACTGTTCTCGGGTGAAGACGATACCGGCTGGTGACCATGGTGGCTTGTAGCCATTGAGCTAGCATTCTGTTGTGGTGTGGCCATCCGGGAAGAACCAACAAAGCCAACTGAGTAGCAGCTGTCGGATATTTCAGACGCTGTAAGGTGCTCATCTGCTTCTTTGTGCTCTGGCACAAATAATTCTCCTTCACTGAGCGTGCGAGGAATGCCACCGTCGTGATTGTAGTCATCATCATCGTAATCGTCGCCACCGTCATCATAGTCGTCATTGTCACCTGCCGGCTCTCCCAGTCCCAGACTGCTTTGCAAACTGATTGCTGCGGCGTACGCGTCAGATATCACGGGCATGGCCTTTTCCGGATCAAGTGACATTCCAGCTATGTCGCCATCGTCAATACAGTCATAGTCATCGGTGTTGTCAGATTCATCTCTGCACACACTGGCATCGTGGCGATTGGCTTGGTTTCTCGTGCCCTGGCTTACTGCTCTCCCCCGCTTATCTCCTGGTACGGTGTGATGCTCTGTCACATGCGCTAGTTTGTCTTCAGCCAGAGTGGCACGGTGATCTGGGTGATCTCTGCGACTCGTTGCACCTTGGTTTAGGATGCTCTCCAGGTAATCATCCAGTGAGAGCTCGCGTGCTGTTGCTGAGGAATTGCTGAGACTGTCTGCAGCATATACTGCTGGGGATTTAGTGGGACTGCTAGCGTGAGTTGATGATGGTGTTAGAATGCCCAATGATGGCACAAAAGGTCGCGCTATCAGTAGACTGGCAGGTAGTCGCTCCGTTGCCGATGGAAGGCTTTGCCCGGTTGCCAATGGAAGGCTTTCCCCGGTTGCCAATGGAAGGCTTTCCCCGGTTGCCAATGGAAGGCTTTCCCCGGTTGCCAATGGAAGGCTTTGCCCAGTTCTACTTGTGGCAGGGGAATTGACCTGGGATGATCCATCCGCCATCTGAAATTGACGTCCAGATTGCGATTTGCCCTGGACGGATCCTCTATCTGCAATGGTGCTGAGACTCTCCACACGAGCAGCTTCTATGACATTGAGTTTTGCCATTGTCGCTTTAGCTCTCGAAAGATGGTACATTATTTGATCGTCCCATGGAGATGTTCCATCAACTTCAGGTGTTGGGCCTGCATCCGGATCACTATCAGATGCTTGTTTGCTCGACTCTGCCATGTATGGCTGCTCCGTCGTTAGTGTTGTATCAGTGCAACTTGCATGTACACGTTCACTGGCTGCTTGGTAATTCCCGTATGGAGCATTGGTATGGTGCCTTTCCCACGGTGTGTGACCACCACCTCTGTGTGCAGAACGCTTGTCTGTGAATGTGCTCCCACTACCAGTGCGTGATTGTTGAGATGCAGATGTCAACCGCCTGCTTGCGT